ACAAGGATGATAAAGCATCAAAAAACATCTGGGCGTCTCCTGGGCAACGTTCTTGCAGATGGCCAATTCTCTCACACCAGAAACGACTTGTAGTTTCTCAAGTCACTCATGACACAAAAAAGCCCCAGAAAACTGTGACTGGTTCACCTTAAACTTGCTATAAGTCACAAATAGCTTGAAGGCACACAACAGCAAAGTTGATTCTAGAATGTGTTCCTGGGAAAATACAACTTTTTTTCAAACTGTTTGTGTACTGGATTTCACCTTGCAACCCACACTATTCATCAATATGGAAATGCTGACCAAGACCATCCTGAAGAAGTTCTCATCAATTATGCTGATGATGCCCGGCTCTATTCCACTTTTGCATGTGAATCAGGTGAAGTACTGGAAGTGCTGAATCAGGTCCTGGCCTCAGTAAAGTAAGTTAAATTTGAAGGAGACAAAGCTGCTCTTGGTAGAGACGCCATCTGTCTGGCAGACATGTAAACAAGGGATGAAAATGTTCATTCATTTCGTTATTTCACATAAGAATGAGTAATTTCATAAAAAAACTTCTCCCCACTGAAATTACAATAATTTTGGGCACACTTTTCACTTCTATTTTTGCACTTTTAAGACTTCTATTATGAGAATGCCTTGGCACAAAACACACTTGTTTTGTGCAATGAAAATTTGACATTGTTTGCACTGAAAACTGTGGTTTTCATAAAATCTTATTTTATGTCGAAAAAAACTTGGTCTTTTGCACATACAAAAAGCTTTTTTCACAAGTCCCAGAATTTTTAGTGCAAATGAATTGTATGCAAAAGAAGTCCATAAATGATTTTTAAAAATTCTCCCAGCAACTGGCCTCAAGAAACCATCTTTCATTGACAAGAACATAATTGAATCCCTACTAGACTGATTTGTACTCCCCAGTTTTCAGTCTGAAGACACTCAAAATTCAGCTTTGTCACCATAGAGACAAACACTCTCTCATCTGTTTTGTTTCTATAAATTTTGTTAGGTTGCTTGTATGCATGAGGTGGCTGCCTTTGACTATAGTTCAGAAACTTGAATTAATGTAATTAGTGAATTGGTTTAATCTTATTGGTGTCAGACTCCAGACCAGGAATGGGCAAACTTTCTAACTTGGGGGGTGCTTGGTGGGCCAGAGCAGGGTGCGCAGGTCAGGAGGGAGGAGGTTCTCCTCAAGACCCCTCCTTGCCCTTTCCTCCCCTTCCTCTTCTCTTTTGGAGGCAGAAAGTGAAGGAAAGATTCAAAACGTTTGGATACCAAAAAGGTTGGCCTTGGTCAGGATGAGATGGTGGACAGAAAAGTGTATCCATTAGACCCCCGTATTGCCTACTCCTGATATAGAATTCTGAATACTAGAGCTGGAAGAGACCCCCAAGGACCATCCAGTCCAACTCCCTGCCATGCAGGAAGTCATAATCAAAGCACTCTTGATAGACAGCTTCTGTGGAAAAGCCTCCAGAAAAGAAGACTCCACCTCACTCTGAGGCAGTCTATGCCATTCTCCAACAAGTCTTACTCTCAGGAAGTTCTTACTCTCAGGAATCTCTTTCCTTGCCACTTGAACTCATTGCTCCCTTGTGTCCTGGTCTCTAGAGCAGCAGAAAGTCAGCCCCCCGCCTCAGTGGGACACCCCTTTAAATCTTGAAACGTGGTACTCATGTTCTCTCTCTATGTTCCCTTCTTCAAGCTAAACATCTCCCAGGAGGAAAAGAGAAAGAAAAAAGAGAAGGAAGGGAGGAAGGGAAGGATGGATGGATGGAAGGGAATGGAGGGAGGGAAGGGAGGAAAGACAAAAGGAAATGGGAGGAAAGGGAAGGGAAGAGAGGGAAGAAGGGAGGAAAAAGGAAAGGAAGGATGAAAGGACAGAAGGGAAGGAAGGAGGGAGAAAGAGGGAGGAAAGGGAGGGAGGGAAGAGAGAAGGAAGGATAGGAAGGTGTGAGAGTGGAGGGCCTGAGAAAAGAGACCAAGGGGCTACATCTGGCCCCTGGGCCTGGGTTTACCCATACCTGCTCTTTGTTGTTGTTGTTCATTCATTCATTCAGTCGCTCCCACGTCAGAGCTCCCTGTCAGCCATCACCACTCCCAGCTCCTTCAAGGTCAAGCCAGTCACTTCAAGGATACCATCCATCCATCTTGCCCTTGGTCGCCCCCTCTTCCTTTTTCCTCCCATTTTCCCCATCATAATTGTCTTCTCTAAGCTTTCCTGTCTTCTCATTATGTTGCCAAAATACTTCACCTCTGCCTCTAATATCCTTCCCTCCAATGAGCAGTCGGGCTGAAGTATGGACCTGCTCTAGACTCAGGGAATCACCATGGGTCATATGTACACTATCATGATCCTATGTACACTATCAGCCTCTCCCATAGTTAGGATGAGAAAGGGAGTCTTCCCCTTAAGAGTACATAGAGGCAATTGGAAGATCACTTCATGGAGGAGGAAAATTAACACCCCCCCCCCATACACATAACAGCTTTGTTGAATCAGATAAGGCAGTTTTTAAACTCTAGGTACCAAGTCATGTAACACTTTGAGGAAAAACACTTGACCCAGAAACCAATGCCTATTTCAAGACTGGTGCAGCATACCACAGCTGCTATCCCTAGAAGCATCCTGGCAGGCATATTTTGTACCAACTGTACTTTCTGGATTGCTTTCAAGGGCAGCTCTACATAAAGTACACTGCAATATTCCAAATGAGAGGCTACCAGAGCATGAGTCACTGTCACGTGGGTGCTGTCAACGAACAACCAGAGTTAAAAGCACTCAATTTACTGTTGCCATGGGGTTAATTAGAAATGCTATTGGGAAGTAGTGTTACGTGATTTTCCTAAAATCAGACTAGTCTACTGGTTTCAGATCATTTCATTTTGATGATCATATCCTGTTACTAATAAGGAGGTATAAATCCCTAATAAACAGACATGGTGCAGAAGCAGGGTTAAATAAAGTGCATTTACCCATACTTGAGCAGATGAAGCTTGAAAGCATACTAATCTGGATAATTTCTGACACATTTTCTAGCTCTCAGCTATAAAGCATAATTAATAAGTCAACATATTTGATCTTCCAGTATTAGAAGAAATCAAATGAAATTGTCATATTAATGTTTAATTATTACTTTAAGATGGAGAACCAGGGTGAAGTAGTGGTCTGAGTACTGGTCTATGTCTCTGGAGATCAAGGTATGAAACCTTGTTCAGTATGGGCAAGTCATATTCTCTCAGTTCCAGAGGAAAGCAAAGGCAAACCCACCCTAAACAAATCTTGTTAAGAGAATCCCCGATAGATTTGCCTTAGGGTACCGTAAGTCAGAAACAACTTGGATTGTTATTAAAATTGTTATTAAAAACAATTTTAAGATAAAAAAAGAAAGTCGTAGTTTTGTTGGTATTCATGGCCAGGAACAAAGTTCAAATTAAAGAACTTTTAAATCATTTTGTTGGAGCTTTAAAAGCAATTACTGAAATATGTCACTAGGTGATGCTCTTTCTGTGAGCAAAGTAGTAAACAGTAAAGAAAATATAAAAACATCAATATTCAAGGACTAGACTTTAAACTGCACTGAAAGTAGTTTTGTTGGTGCTAGAGAGATGACAATAAGCTTCTGCTCCTCACTTCTTGGTGGTCCCCTCAAAATATACTTTAAGGCAGTTGGGAGGTACTCCAGGACAGAAGGTGAGATGGTGCCATGCATATGGGCATTGCTTGGTTTAACCTAGGTAACCTCTGAGGTTAAGCTATTTATATTCCACTTCTCTGAGATATAGCCTCGCAAACACAGCCTTAGAAATAATAAAAATCTTGAACACAAACACCTATTAATACATTACAACACCACTATCAAAACTGAGAAAATGAAACACAGTTTGATGTACGAGTAGTTAAGGAAAGAATTCCCAGAGCTTATCTTAAAGCAAAAATTCCAATTGAAATGCACTGAAATACTGATAATCTGTTCTGCCCCCCTTAAACTCCTCCCCCACTACCAATTTCTTTGTTATGTTCTAAAATCAGAAAATGTACTTTATAAATAACAAATAATATATAAATGCACATTAACATAGATCAACTTTAAAATGGTAGAAGCACAAAGTTGTGGCAAGGAAGCACAAAGTGAAGAAACAGAAACATCATTTTCTTCATACTGTACTCATTCTAGTCTCCCTCCCTCTTACTCTCTCTCTCTTCATGAAGCCAAACATACCACAAATAAAAACCACACAAAATCAACTAACCCAAAGTTTCTCAAAGTGGGCAAGACCAAAGCAGACAGCAATCTCCCAAAGCGGACAAAAGCACAAGACATGCCTCAGACTAAAGGCCTGTAGTCTGAGGCTAGTACCCCATTTGATACTAGCTCTTGACAAAAAATGCTGCTCCTATGTCAAAGCAAACCCTGGACCAAGTGAAAGCTTTTAACTCAAATACTCTTAAGTTGATAATCTTAAGTAGAGGTTCCATTGTATATGCCCGAATGCAGTTCTTTAGATAAACAAGACTCAACCATGTAAAGCTTTTGAAGCACAAGTGTGTGACTCCAGCCCCAGATTATTTCTCCTTTGTCCCATGAGAGTTGTTTCCAGATGTTGTCTCCAGCCCAGCAAAGGCTGCTCCTACTACTATGAGAACAAACACTACAGTTTCTCATAAGGGTGTGGTCTCAATTGATCTTTTAAAGAAAAAGGTGCAGAAAAATCTGAAGCAAGCCTACTTAATTAAGCCAAGTTTAAATGGCACATCACACACACAGATACAGAAAGGTATGATTTGGTACCGAGGCACAAATGTGGGGGTTTTGGGAGATGTTAAAGGGCAATCTTGGGGGTATCTTTCCTACTCCAGGACAAGGGGAATCTTTAGGCAAATACAACAGGAATTTTGTGAAGTTCTTATGATAAATCTTGAACTTTAAAAAATGATAAAAAGAAGGCTCCTAGAATGAGAAGAGGAAAGAATGACACCTATCAAAATAAATATATAGGTATGTAATTTAAAATACATTTATTAAACTGCAGGATCTTTTTGTAGGATCAGTTCAGAATGGTAAGAAAACACAGTTAAAAAGAGGATACAGACTCTTCCAAACACTGTCAAACTTACACTGCCAGAGTATTTGATGAAAAGCAGTGATTCCATTATGTATAAAGTCTTCTGGTTAGTAACATAATATAGTATTAATATAGTCTTTTCTTTAGCAAAATCATTATATCCTCTTCTTTTCAGTTTAGGCTTTCAATCTGCTTCACTAGTAAATCTAGAGCTTCATCTTTGTCTTCAGTGTCACTTAGGTCTAATTCAGAGCCTTCCTCCAATTCTCCCCTTCTGTTATTTCTCCTTGGATCAACTTTGGAAGAGTGATTCTCGGTCCTTACATCCAATTTGGAAGGCTGATTCTCACTTTGAATCCTAAGACAAAACATACACAAGATATTGTTCCTAAATTTTCAAAATGGGATGTGTTTGGAAAGAAAATATCTTTTATACAAGTATGCATAAATTTAGAACAATGACAAGAATGAAACCTTAAGAGAATAGTACCAATCAGTCAGAATGTGACTAGTCCAGAAACAGCTACTGTATATACAGAGTATATGCCAACCTGAATATAAGCCGAGGCACCTAATTTTACCACAAAAAACTGGGAAAACATATTGACTTGAGTATAAGCCGAGGGTGGGAAATGCAGCAGCTATGGGTAAATTTCAAAATAAAAACAGATACCAATAAAATTACATTGATTGAGGCATCAGAAGATTTAATGTTTTTTAATATTTACATAGAAGTGTAATTCAGGATAAGACTGTCCAACTCTGATTTAACCATTATTCTAACCTTCTTCAAAGTATCCTTCCATTAATAATAAAGAGAGTAAAATAATGGAAATGTAATTACAGTAATAATAGAGTAAAATAATAAATGTAATAATAATAATAATAATAAGAGTGAAATAACAAGTGCAATAACAATGATCAAGTAAAATAATAAATGTAATAAAAAGAATAATAATAATGGAGTAAAATAATTTAAATATAATAAAATAAATAGAGTAAAATAATAAATGTAATAATAATAATAGAGTAAAATAATAAATGTAATAATAATAATAATAGAGTAAAATAATAAATAATCTTGACTTGAGCATAAGCCAAGAAGGGCTTTTTCAGCCTAAAAAAATGGCTGAAAAACTCGACTTATATTTGCGTGTGTGTGTATATATATGGCAATTTATACATGTTGCTGATCAAGTAGCAATTACTTGTACACTAGTGGAAGGAACAATTATTCGCAATAACAAACCATGTTATCAGTTCTGCTTAACATATTAGCTAACAACTATCACTTCACAAATCCAAATCCTCTTATAACATGTTACCCAATCATACTTAGAGTTCAACCTTTCAAAGTCAGTAAAGGTTTTGGTCACAAGCTGTTGACTGAAAGAAAACCACACATTTAATGTGCCTTTACACGCTATTTCTCTCAACAGCTGCAAAAATACTGGTGCCATTAATGCTTTCCTCAACATCATTGAAAATGCTATACTTTGTATTAGCCCTGGTTTGCTGCCAGTAGCAATATTTTCTTTCTTTTTTACTTCTTCAGTCACCTTGGAGAGAAAGGAAAAAACATTTTTAAATGCTGTGAAACAAGAATGAATAATCTTAAGGGAGCAGAGGGCAAAATAACAAAAATATATTATAATTAGAACAGATGGGGATAAGTGTGGCTTTGGGTTGTGACCTCCATTTCTCTTTGACTCAGATATTCCTCCTGTTATTATTTTTCAGAGGTGCAGCAGACAGTAAAATAAAAGATTCTGCACCTTCCAGAGGATTTGAGGTGGTGAGGGGAGGTGGGGGTTGACAACAACACATTTATGATTAGTCACCAAGCCCAGGCTACATTAGGTGATTCTCCAAGAAATGCAGAAATAAAATGATATCCAAACAGTAGCTGGCACACTTACGGAATCACAATGTCTTCTCTTTTTCCACATTTGGCACACAGCTCAAGTTCACAAGCACATGGCTTGCAGATAATGTGGTATGAATCCTTTACAGTCTTCTGCAAACATTTTACACTATTAAAAGAAAAAGTAAGTAAAACCGTAAGCATAACCCCTTTTGCATTTTAACCCACAACCAGGACAGTTTCAGAATACAGAAGTACAGAATTCAGAACTTGGCAGAGCTTCTGGAAACTGCAATCTAAAAAAGGAACCTTCTCAAGCTTTGACAAAATTTGCGTATGAAAGACAGACTGACCTTAAAGTGATCAGGGACATACCGTATTTAAAAAAGGAAATAAGCATTTAGAAACACCAATATATAAACCACACCAGTAACAGTAAGAATTACCTTACAGGGCCCAGATACTGACAAGGCCTCTATATAACAAAAGAACAAAATGGGGAGCATGCAATAAAAATGAAGAGGAAAAAGGAAACACGTTTTGAAATCCTGAGAAAATGGTTGAAAAAAATGTCTTTTACTAGCTAATGCATTTATTATAATAATACTTAAGTAGCAGGAGGCTACTTAAAATTGAAATTGCAGCAACTACTGAGCTAGGAATTCCAAAGCCACTTATTGGCAAAATGGAGATCCCTGTTCAGACATTTCAGCAGGTTTTTATTTTTTAGCGAATAGATTTTTTTTCAGCATCTTGTGATGTGTCTCCTCTTTCTCTTCCTCTCCACACTCTCCTCCTCTTGGAGGGTATGCACTTTTGTGTTTAATCTTTAGAAGAGCTTCCTATCTCTAGTTCTTGAAGATGTGTTTGTGTCAACTCATATTTTAGTGTTCTGGCTTCATCCCCGCAATTGCCACTCCATTTTCTTTTCAAGAGGAAGCTAGCAATCACTTTGGTCATTAGATTTGTATTTTACCTTTCCTCCACTTAGACCACTTAATTGTTTCCTCTCTTAATTTACTATTTACTCGAATCTAATGCTCACCTTGTTTTGGATAAATTAGCTTCCCAAAATTGGTGTGCACATTAGATTCCAGTAATATGATAATTTTAGTACTGAGCCAAAGCAAAAGGGGAAGCTACTTCAGGAGCTGTACATGGAGCTCCTCTTTGAGGGATGCTATCTAATTGAATTGCTATAGCTCAGTGCTATACAATGCTGGGATTTGTAGTTTGGTGAGGCATCATCATTCTTTGGCAGCCCCCATGGTACCAAAAAACAGCCCCCATGACCCCATAGAATTGAACCAGGGCAGTTAAAGTGGATTTATTCTACAAGCATTGCTGAAAGCTTTGGTGTTCTAACACTTTTGTTAAGCTATAATTTGTTTTATATGTTTGATTTTTTTTGTTATTATGTGCATATTGGTTGTTGTACCCAGTCATTGAATGTTTGCCTTTTTGTGATTGCAATCCGCCCTGAGTCCCTTCGGGGAGATAAGGTGGAATACAAATAAAGTATATCATCATCATCATTATCTGAGAGAGAAATTAAGATAACCCAAAATCAAGCAGAGGAATCTGCCATTCATTAGAAGACATTAAGGCCCCTTCCACACAGCTGACTAAAATTCCACATTATCTGCTTTGAATTGGAATATATGGCAGTGTGGACTCAGATAACCCAGTTCAAAGCAGATATTGTGGGATTTTTTGCTTTGATATTCTGGGTTATATGGCTGTGGAAGGGCCCAGTGTCTGTTTTTTGTTAAGTTGTGAAGAGACTACTAATAGAGATTCACATAATTTTAATGTGCACCTGCACTTTAAAGGACTCTGCCCTTACGGAAATTCAGGTGTTACTCAGGCTGGGTTACTGGTTTACTGAAATTAGGGATGAACTTCTGCATACAGTAAGATTGTGGTCTGTGTCACAGAGCTAGTTTCAAACACACCCTTTCCCCTCACAATGGAGACTTTGAGTAACCCCGATACATCATTTTTTAAACAGAGTTAAGCCCAAAGGCTGTTTACAAGATAAGTACAAGGCGTTCCTCTGCATGAATCACCTAGTGACGCAGTCAAAGTATATTATCCCTTCTGAGAATCAGACTATACATTTAGAGACAAATGCATGTAAAGCAGCCCTGACTTTGTTCTCCTCCAAACTGGTTTCTCCCCAGAGGTCTATGTCTCCCCCGCCTCTGGTCAAGAGTGTCACTTCCTAGGAAAGCTTCTCATTTAAAAAATACATACTAGAATTTGTTACGTGCATTTCCATGAAACTTACTGTTTGTCCCTGAGTGCATGAGAGAAGTGCCAATATTTATTCTCCCAATGCAGGATTTAGACAGTTTAAAGTGCACTTCACAGCCTATTTACCTAAGTTAACATTAAGGAAATGTTTCTTTGCTCTGATTTAATGACAGTCTTTATTTCAGAACTTTATTACTTCAGGCTTTACTATTTGCAAATCAATACCTCAATCACAAGACGATGAATCCACTTTAACATTGTGGTCATCTGTAGTACTTTTGCCATGTCAAAAAACAAAGGGAAAAACCAACTAATTTTGCCCAGCTATCATCTCCCTGGCCAACTCACAGAACTCACCTATTGGAGTAAGCCGAGCAGGTGGAACTTTAACAGTAATCCATAAAACAATTCACTCACCATTTTTTAGACTGTGTTAGTGTTTTGTATTTGTTGAATTTCACACGCCATTCCAGCACCTCCTTACAATGCTGACAGAGACCTTCGTGGACCTTTGCATTAATTTTCTAAAAGAAATGTCAGAATTTGATTTTACCAAGATGTCAGACAAATTCTCACAATCAGCAGTGACTTCTCTTTAAGGAACTTTTTTTAGATTTAATATTGCTCTCAACTGATACAACCAGAAACTAAAATTCATTTTGGCCCACCTCAGAGCTTTCTATATGCCTATCAGTATACTGCTCTAAAGACACAGAATGAAATATAGAACCCCTGACTTTTACAAGTGCTTTGCAATGAAAATTGGGGTGGAGTGGGAAATAGAGAAACAAGATAAGAAACATGATGAATCATACAGACACATGGCCTTAATTTTATTTCTGGATTGTATTTGAAGAAAAAATAATGCCACTAGCAGCTTATGGTTTGTGGACTGGCACGGATCCATGGACTGCCACTTTGTATAGGGATTTGATCCAGTGGATTTTTCATTTTAAAAACCTTGTATAGAAAAAATAATGTCCTTATTATCTTTTTTAATGAGAAATCCACTGGGTCAAAACCCTGTGCAAAGTGGTGGTCCATAGATCAGTGCCAGTCCACAAACCATAAGCTGCTAGTCCCTAGACAATTTCCAAGGGAGCCAAAGGAAACAAAACAACAAAAAACTGGAGTCAATTCCACAAATATGTTGGCACAATAGAAAATGATTATTAAACAGATAGCTTAAGAATACTGCCTTAGAGCAAGTGTGGGTAAAGTGTGTCGCAAAGACTACAATGCTCCACTTCCCAGCAAAAGAAGTGCAAGTAGTCTAAAAAATGACAGCTTCTGGGGAACATTAATTAATTTATCAAGGAAATATCCTATGCGTTGTTTTGGGAAGGGGGCCAGAACTTACCCTGCCTTACAAAAAATAAGCTATACAAACAGTAAGATATATATGCTTAGTCAACAGTAGGTCGACTGTTCAATTATTTTCCTTAAATAGGTATGCACTGAATTGCAACTGGGTGCTGTAACTCTCATTTAAAGATATGCAACTGTAAAGAGTTAAAATTGTATAAATTTGCTTTTGCTGGTATGTTTGGTCACCAGATGAGCCTAAAAAGAAAATATGTGATGTGGCAAAAAAAAGAGGTCAAATCATGTCAGACCCAGACGTCTTTTAGCCTAATGCTGGCACAAAGTTAGGCCAGAAGGCTGCAAGTAATTTCCAACACCTGTAAGCTGGAAGGTGATTGGACCAGCACAGCTTCAGCTGGCTCATCCTATCCCTTGGTCACCTTCGCAAGACAAGATTGAAATGCTGGCTGACCACAGTATGTCTATGGATTCCACATGCGTGGCTTGGGCAGGCCTAGTAAGATTTCTGAATTTTTGTTTAAACAGTACACATGAACACACCCAACACATAGTATTGCATGCTACTTTTGACAATTATTTTTGTTTCAAATTGTTTGCTCTAGCATGGAGGGCTACTATGCAAATGGACAAGCTCAAAACTATATTATGAATGCAAAGAAAGTAAGGTCTTTGTCTTTCCAACTGAGTTGATTCAGTTTCCTCGCTCCCCTTTACAAACAGTGTGACTCAGATACTGTCCTTAACATTCCTCCCAGGTAGGTGTGTTGAGAGCTATGGGTGTGCAATGATTGAACTTATGGCTATAATTCTTTACATGACCAGGGGCTCAATGTCATGTAAAGTCACATCCATTGACTGTTGGGCCTCTTCCCCTTTGAGGAAAAGGGAAGAAGCCAGAATGAAGGGGAACAGGTTTCAGCCTTCTCCGTTAAAAAATCATAGTAAATTTTATAGGGATATTTACTCTGGAACTAAATGGAACATATTAATATGACAGCACCAATATGCTAGGTCACATTGCTTTTCCTTAAAGAAAATATATATTAACATGATGCCTTTGAGGATGGCTGTAAGGAGTGACTTGGCTATCCCATGAAGACACAAATTCCAGTGGAAACTACTCATCCTGCTTTCTCAATTCTGTTTTCAGGAAGAACCCTAGTATTCCTTGCTGGATAGTTAAGATTATTCAAGCTTCCAATTATACACCTGCAAGAACATTCTCTTTCTTAACCCCTACATCTATCATTGAAGATTTATCTCTCGGTTCTCTTTCTAGTCCGAGACACAAAACCAGGAAGAAGCTGTATTTACAGAGTTAGATAGAAGTTTGAGTGTACAAGCTCTATCTAGGAACTGACTTGTTGGCTCAGATCAAAGCTGCACCAACTTTTAACTCACATCACACTTCAGAACTATGGTGGAACTTTACTATGCTTCTGAGAGTCCCATTAACAACAATCAGAACATTAACCTTCTCTTCACTTTATTTCTTAATTAGTCGCTCTCCACCAAGGTGCTCCGAGCGACCGACAATCTAAAATAGCATTTACACAATATAAAAACATTCAACATAAAAACATTCAACAGTGACTATTTGGCAAATTAGATCTGATTACTTAAATGCACAACCAAACAGCCAAGTCTTGAGTGCCTTTACAAAAGGTCGCAACTCCGACATTGCTCTAATATATGGAGGCAATGAGTTCCACAGAACCTGTATCTATGATCTCCATGCTTGGGAAAAGTTGCACAAATTTGTAGACATGACAACCTCTAGAAGGGCATGAATATTGTTAAATTTAGGAGAAATAGTGCCTAGTGATTTGTCCAATAGGAGGCTTTTTGTAAGAGTAAGGTTTTGTGAGCATTTTGGCATTTTACTATGTTGTGTAATCGCTACAGGTAAATACACTGACTGTTTAAGCAACTAAAAGCTTCAGAGGGCACTTAACAACAATTGTTCTTTGTTGAATCCTTCAGGCAGAATGGATAGTCAGGTCCCTTGTCTCAAAGTTGAGAAACTGCACTCATTCTTATCATTTTGCATTCAGAGTAACAATGAAATTGCTTCAAGCATTAAAACTCTCCTCTTTTAAAAAAAGGCATCTTACTCTTTGTTTCCCCGAGAAGGAAATCTGGAACATCACTAGAGCTTTGTTCTAAAGACTCAAATAAGAGGAGGCTACAGAAGTGTCAAAAGCAGTTCTTCGCCAGCTACAGTATCTGGAGCTCCCAATACTGTATGTTCCCAGAAGACTGGGTTGTGGCGCAGCTGGTGGGAGTCAGCTGCATTAAAATCACTACTGACCTAAAGGTCATGAGTTCAAAGCCAGTCTAGATTGGAGTAAGCTCCTGACCATTTGTCTAGCTTGCTGTCGACCTTTGCAGCCCAAAAGAAAGTTGCATCTGTCAAGTAGGAAATGTAGGTGCCACTTATGTGAGGAGGCTAATTTAACTAATTTACATCATTAAAAAAAATCTCCAGTAGCATGCAAAAGAATGAGGAAGCACTCCATCGGTGTACCAATTGGATGGTGAAGTGACAGCTCCCCCAGTGGCTGGAATTCAAACATACCCTCATGAAGCTGGAAAGTTAAATAGCCTCTTTGTGTCTGTGTGTGTGTGTGTCTGTGTGTTGTGTGTCTATGGCACTGAATATCTGCCATGTATATGTGCATTATAATCCACCCTAAGTCCTCTGCGGGGTGAGAAGGGAGGATTATAAATATTGTAAATAAAGAAATAAATTCATTTAAGCAGAAAAGTGGTTCTGTGTTCTCCCTGTAGTAGACACAGTCAGGATCCTGGGTGAACATCTGAATCTCCAAAACAACAAAGTTCACCTTGCCTCTAATTGGAACTTTTCTAAATTTCACTATCATAACTATTTGCCTTGTATTTTGCCTCATTCGAGGCTTTTGCACAACCTTATGTGGTATATCTATGGTACTTGCCAGCTAACACACCACAGTCTTTTGTGCCTTGCTTTATATAACAGCAAAGGGATGAAAAAAGTGAAGGCAGAAAATATCTCCTCGTTTGGCTTGGAGACATGAACATGGATATGTAAAATAGCACTTTTCATCTGAGATTAGTATCTCAGTCTTTATCATTGGCTATATTAAAGTGAAGATACATCTTGTCCCAATTTATGCAAGACTCAGCTCTCACACATGACTGAAAACATGTAGGTGTTATTTAGATAGGCCTTCTAATATGTGCAAGTATATAACTATTTTTCAAAAGGATCTAAATAATTAAAATTTTAGTGGATATTGTGGAAATACATGTGGAGCTGTAGCTCTCGAAACAGAGAGAAAATTCAGTGCTGAATATTAAGATTGGCTTTGCTCACCTACAGCACTGAAAAATTTGATGCAAATGTTTACATGAAACAGCTATTTCAGAATATAAACATGTTTACATTTTATTATCTGGTGTCTAAGGTTCCTTATACAGTTGGTTCTCCTCATCCACAGATTGAACTAGCTAGTTTGATTAAAAAAAATCCTAAAAGCAAACCTTGATTTTGCCAATTTTAATAAGGGACACCATGTAATTACACCACTCTATATAATGGGACTTTAGCATATATTGCAACGACCTGTATGTGGGCCTTCCGATGTCTATGACCCGAAAGCTTCGTATTGTTTAGAATGCGGCAGCCAGGTTACTCACAAGAATGCCCATGAAATGCCATATAACACCAGTGCTGCAACATTTACATTGGCTTCCAACTGAGTACCGTGGCCTGTATAAGATGCTAGTTCTGACCTTTAAAACTCTTTACAGCCAGGGTCCATCGTACCTTAGGGACCGCCTCTCCTTCTCCCATCATCGGAGGTCGCAACGACCAGCCCAACGTGACTTACTCAACATACCGGGTCCTAGAGAAGTGCACTTGGAAAGGACCAGACGCAGGGCTTTTTCTATTTCTGCCCCTGCCTTGTAGAATTCCTTGCCGCCCTACATGAGTGCCATGCGTGACTTAGGGCCTTTTACTCTCGCACTTAAGGCCTGGCTTTTTACTAGAGCATTCGATCTCTGTTAATTTTTAATTTTTGTATGTATGTATTTTATCTTTTATAATTTAGCTGTAAATCACCTAGAGCATTCTCGGATGGAGGGCGATTAATAAGTTATTAAATGATGATGATGATGAATTGTGATATCCACAAGGAGTCCTGGAACGAAATCCCAGTGGATATCCAAAGCCTACTGTATTTATTCTGTGAAAAATCTTTGTGGAGACAGTGTTAAAATTTGAGAAAGCCAAGATGACTTAGAATTCAAGGTCAAATGCCACCATGAAAAACAGTACATTAAACATAAAAGAATGCTTTGCATACGATGAAGATATACCATTAAAACTACAAATGATCTGCATCACAAAAGTGCAGCCCAATGAAAAATAATTTGCAAGGCATAAAAATAGTACCAGTACTGAAACAATGTGGAAGAATTTCTTTTAGAAAATCTATTTTAGTTATTTACTTTTTTGCTTATAGCGAGACAGAGAGAGAAATGGATGACCTCAGTTGAACTGCTACAAGTACAAGGCTTTGAGAACAGAGCAAGATTAACTGCAAGCTAATTTATTGCAAAGGCTACTGTGGCAATCATAACAAGAAGATTTTAGATTGGAAATGGTAAAGATATGTTGGCTTTAAAGACATTCAATCTAAGTTCCCCAAATATATTAGCTAGAATGATAAGTTTCTTAAGAAGTGCTCAACCAATTTTAGTTGAACAATCCAAGGAGAGATGACATATGATAAAAACTACCTAATTCCTTTCTAATTCAAACCAGCAACTGTTTGTTACACATTTTTGCCTGCATTACAGCCAGATTCACATAACTAAATACAATTATCTGGAAGAATCTAATAAGCCAATATTCTGAAAATCATCACTGCTTTGAGAATTCTACAGTATTCGGATTCACTTTGTTCCTTACACAGGCAAATCAATATCCTGTCTGTTATTGATTCAGAAAATTAGAGGCTGGCTATGAAAGATTTCTGTGGAAAGATAGGTTACCAGCTATAACAACAACAAAAAAATTGCAGTGCTTAATGGACACTGACCAAATTCATTCCAAAGAAACTTGAGGAGAAACATAACGTCAGCATTTCTGTTACAGTTCTGTTGTCACAGCTGATGAGAAATTTCTAAAAGGGCTCTGCTGCTTCAAAGCAATCCAGTAGTCATGTTACAGCCTTAAATCCATACCAGACAATAGTATCAGAAATATTTCTTCACCTGATCTACTTAGTGACATTTTCTTTGTTTAATCTTTCAGGATCCATTATCTAAGAAGAATTAAAGGAGTAACATGACTACTGGAAAGCAACCGTATCCTGGACAAAGGACTGCACACACCTGTTCTGTACTAGAGGTTTCAACCAAAGTGTTGGTGGTGTTAAGAGTTTGGGGAGAATAGCACGGATGGGGAGAAGCAAATTTCTTGTTTCCACAAACAGTTTGGAATTATATAGGCGTGAACCAATTCGTTTGTGGCTGTTCTCTTTGTCTTTGGGCTCTTTACAGCTACATCCAGGCAGGAATTACAGTTTCAGCTAGACTCCTAGAAGACGTTATTTTTCTAGTCTTTCCACCACCATTCTAATATATCATTACTCATTTATTGCTAAGTGTCACACATATTTGAATATAAATGCCAGCACCCCAGTGGCATTGAAAATATAAGTGCCAACAGTATTGAAAAAGCCTTTTCACATTTTTAAGGGGATAAACAATTTAACAGAAATACACAGTGGTAATATTCCAATTTCAATGTTCAAGCTGGCAAGTAAATTTAGCAGTGAAAATCCTAGCTGTTACATATGCAGTGCACTTCTGGCTTGTTTTGAATTATGTGAAGTATTCCAGGTAGTTAGGACTGTCTTTTCATAAGTATACAGCACAATCTTTCTGCTACCTGTCTCATAAGGCACCCTCAGTTGAAATATTCAGAAGGACAGTGACCTGAGATGGCTCGTCTTGTTTAAATGCTAATTTTAGACAGTTAGGTAAGACTATGTAATTTGTGTAGCAGCAGCTTCACGACACTGCACCAAATGTTGGAATATCCTCAAGTTGATCATGTGAAATAGGTGATTAATTCCCATTTAAGGAGGGAAATGTGATTTACACCATAATAAACTTCTAATTTCATAGCAGAATGAGAATGTATAGTATGGTTCAGGTACAAAAAGACTGACTTAATATAACTTTCCACTTTAATGAGATAAAAATGACAGAATTATGATCTTCTGTGATATGAAAAAGAATTTTCATCCATTATCCTCTAGAATCAGTTGACATTCATTTTCATAATAAGAAATATATTGTTTAACCACACTATAGTTCAAGAAAAACAAACCAGATAACCCATATGCAATGGGAGTTGTACATTGACGCACAATTTCATGATCATGGTGGCACAGTACACAAGACTAAAGAATTTCATATAATGCTCGGGTGGGCCACGTGAGCATAAACCTTTGTTTGCAATCAAAATGAATGGAGAGCACAGTGGCAAGTCTGTATTTTTAAAACTATCTTCCTTGTGCTATCCTCGATTTATATGTTGTTTGTTCTGATAATACAAACTGTGTACATGTAGGTTTTTGAGTACTCTGCCATGCAAGGCACATCAGTATGGAGAAGATCAAATACCGTACAAAGAAAATAAAGAGCTGCAGGAATTTATCAAAATGTTTTATTGATTGGCCTGTCATTGATACAAGAACATTTTGAACGTGATTCCGAAGCAAGAATTTTCCAGACAGCTAAGCCACAAGGGAAATCATTATCCAAGCCAACCCTGACCTCCTCAATATTGATGACAGAGCTGCTTGTTTTATCTCAAGACTTTGGCAGAGTAAAGCTGTCAGGATTCCTATAGGCTACTTTTAAAACACATTCCTTCAAGAGAGTGGAGAGTGATTTAGATGGCAGGGAAGTTTATATTTGGTTCCACTGAGGGCCTCAGGTGAATATATTTAGGCTAGCTTCCAAAGCCAGCATTAACTCAGTCATCCTAACACAGGCTTCTTCTAATAATCAAACATGCAATTTAGAGGCTGGATCTTTAAACATTATTTTGAATGCAACACAAAATAAACCAAACTTAGTCATTTTGAACAATAGCATTTGTGTGACATTTCTAATCTAAAAGATTTTGATCCAAAGCATCCTCACTTTGCTCCAGAATTTACAACCCATTAACACCTTCCTTTTCTCTCCATCCAACATATTTGATTTGTCAATAGAAAATTGAGCAGTATCAAGAACAAGGCACAGAGGTGAAGACTCTGGGGTTAGTCTTTTAACTCATGGATACCAGGCCCACATAGATTCTGGTAGAATTACAATAGAGTCTCGCTTATCCAATATAAACAGGCCGGCAGAACGTTGGATAAGTGAAACTGTTGGATAATAAGGAAGGATTAAGGAAAAGCCTATTAAATGTAAAATTACATTATGATTTTACAAATTAAGCAACAAAACATGTTTTGCAACAAATCGACAGTAAAAGGAGTTCAATACACTGTAGCGTTATGTAGTAATTGCTTTATTTACGAATTTAGCACCAAAACATCGTAATGTATTGAAACAGTTGTGGATCCGGGCAGGAGGCAAACTGTGTTGGATAATACAGAACATTGGATGAGTGAAGGTTGGATAAGCGAGACTCTACTGTAGATGTAACTGGTGCTCCATGTCTGGCTATGCTAAATGCTTGCTTCAGATTAAGGAGTCACTGGACACTACCTACTTGGTGGAGTACATTTGGAGTGGGCTGCTGCAGATAGAAAGCATGAGCCAGTAATCTGATTTCCAGTCTGCGGAGTTATGCAAACTGTTGTTTCAAAGTGGACCTCAGAGCTTTAGTCATAAAGTGGGAAGCAGCTTTAAACTAAACTTATTTGCATGGGAACAAAGCAATGGAGAAAGGAATGAAGGAATAATAATGGCAGAAAGCTAAATTTGATATTCCTGTGACCAACCCTATGCCTTGTTCTTTTCCTACTCTTTTATAGCTATTGGCTTTCCCCGCAATAGTGAAAGAGGCTCACCGTTAAGACATCAGCCTGTTTATCTTTGCTTGCACTGGCCAGAAGTCCAAATATGGTGCCACCCATTCTGCCTGTGACTACTACTGTTCTACATGCATAGCTCTGAAGCAGGCACATGCTTTTCCAATGGCTATTTGAAAATCATTCATGACCCACAGCCTGTGAAAATCCAAGGTTCATTAGTTTAATGGCAACGAAGAATGAAATAGTGTAATCACGAAACAGAAGCATGACATCAATTTCCTGTTTAACATACACTTCCTACTGCAGTCTTGCTTCTCTAGAAACCAATAATAACATTCATACATTGTTGATGTATGCCTTCAGATCATTTTGGATATAGGGCAACCCCATTACAGCATGTTTTTGCATGTTCAGAGTAGGTTTTATCTTTACCTTCTTCTAATTCTAAAGAGTTTGACATGCCCAAGGTCATCCAGTAGGTTTCCATGCACAAGAAGAGGTTTAAACTCTGGCTCATCCATGTGTTGGTTTGCATTATTACATATGCATATTTAATTCTCATCTTTTGAAAAATGTGGTTTTTTCTCTATTTACTCTTCCAAAGTTACTATTTAAGTCTTTTTGTTCCAAATAAATTACAGAACTTCAATCTGAATTTTTAAGAAGGATGTTGATGAAAGCATGCAAATTTATAGCAGATAATGCTACCATCCTGCAGAAAGATGAATAGTCATGCTTGTTAGAAATAAGGATAACCTTCTACTGATAGCTTTTACAACTAAGCAATATCACAAGTTTTGCTTTCTCCCTAAGGCTGTCTACAGTCAGAAATACCGTTACATTGCAGTACATGAGGAGGACAAAATTATTGTTGGAACCTATTCATTCTTTGCAGATAGGATTTAACACAGAAGAGGTGGAAATATTTCCTGGGGCTTCTCAGTAGGCATTACTCATGGAAATGGATTGCATTTGAAATAGGAAAAAGAGACTTCTAATAAATAAAAGCAGCTAGCAGCTATTGTTCTCCTTCAGCATGGAGTGACAGAAAAGATTAAGGTGACATATTCATGGTAATTTTATTTTGGCTTTTGTCAAATAGTCCCAGTGCAGATTTTGGTAAATACATTATGTACAAAAAAACAAAACTCTAGTACATATAAAGCAGTAGGTAAAGAGCAATACAAAAAAACAAAACAATCTGTAAATTAAAATAAAACCCAAAATAAAATAGCAGGTAAAGCAATTTATCAGAGGGCCACGTTTAATTTTGAAGCCATGAAATGAAGACAATGTCTGGCATCCTGTTAGCTGTGTTTGTAGACATTATTTATCCATTCTGTTGTTGTGGAAGTTAAAAGAGGCCCCACACCATTCTCTTCCAATGCTATGATTCTGTGACTACAGTCCCCTACAGCTGTCTCACAGCTGGTGAAGGGTGTGTGTCACCATACCTCTTTCTGTGGATTATGTAATTATTCTGCACCTGGCTACAGGTAAACCTTTCTAAGCCCCCCCCCCCCCTCGATACTAGAATGGACATGGGAGGGCATTGGCTCAAGACTGAGTCTGGGTGGTGATGAGCAGAAAGCTGTAATTTCAAAGATGATAGGAAAAGTGATTTCTCAAAGAGCATTAAAACCTGTGAAGAAGTCACAGTCCGTGCCCATCTTGTAAACCTTTTCTGAAAAGAGCCAAACTCCTATGAGATATTAAAAATGATGCATTTAGTCAGAGATAATTTCAAAATATCTAACCCCACAGCTGAGTTACAGCCCAGCTCTACTTCACAAACAAGAAAGAATTACGTCACAAGCCTGCTGTTCCAATCACCCAAGACATGTTATCAATGTATGCCACATCACTTACCTATAAGTGGACAATTTCTCTTGTACTTTTTGTTTGGTGCTGATACAGCAAAACAGAAATGGACAATATTCTTGATCAAATGCATCCAAAATACATTATTCATAGCCTGTGTCTTTGCTGTGCGCGACAGACATGAAAAGTGAAAGTTACTTAAGTCTGGGCTGGGTTCAACTGCAGGATAAACAAGGACTGGGACGGATTAGTAGCTAAGATATGCCCATGTGATGAGACACTTGTTTATCACTGGCTTAATCAGCCATATGGCGAGAGCTTTTTCTTACTCTGATGCTGGTACGTTGGTTTCTGAGCCACAATTACCAGATTTTTAAAAAACACAAAATGAAACATGATATCTTTTTTAGAAGGATAAGCCACAACTCTTGATCAATGACCTTTATACATGAACATATTTGTCAAATGAAGGTACTATGCCAGCACGTGGGTACAGTTTGGCAAATGCCATAATTAAAAATAAATTAAAATGTAAAAGCAGAGGTATGTTTAAAGAGCAAGCACTAAGGCATGCCATACTAGTAACAAATGAATCACTGAATCATAACAGGAAACTGAAATGTAAGTATACTCTCAGTCTAAATTCCCTCATAGGATTGTTGTCAGGATAAACAGTCGCGGATCTATAGTACTTGCTTGAGGAGATATAGAATGTAAGTATAACACAATAATTATTTTAAAAAGGAAAAAAAAATCCCAGCTGTCCACCTTTCACACAATTTAAAATTCTTGTTAATAATGTGATATTTGTCTAGGTTTGATGGTTAAAAATAAAAACAGTATCTTTGAATAAATCTGTCTTCATATGTATTACAATTTGATATTTATTAAATGCTGAAGCACCTGCTGAGGCAAATAAGGAATATTTCATATGTAGGTTTATGAATATCCTTGTACTGTACACATCTATTTGGTTGTACAATCAAGCGGCTCAATTTTTCATTTGCCACATGCAATGACACTCCACCTTTATTGTTCCCAATGTCTAACCCAAACTTGCTTAGGTGTGTGACTTAGTCAGATTACTATCTTTATTTTCTCCCCTCCACCTGAAGCCATGATTTTACACTATCTAGCAATAGAAAAAATGTTATAATTGTTTGACGCTGTATGCAGTGGTGCACATTGTTTATTAATTGTTCATGTTTATTTGAGTACATAAACTGGTTCCCCAAATACATACTGAGAGTTTGAAGTTAGCAATGGCCTTTAGCACTTCCAGAGCAGTGAATATAATTAGGGAGGGCACTCACAAACAACCACAATTGTCTCCACAACTTCACAATTTGAAGCAGGTAGAGAGGGGGGGATTATTACAAGGAAGTTATCATAATTGAAATGTAGAAACCACTGCTAAATATAGTGTAATTGTGGCACACCTTTAGGGAAAGCAAAGGTCTCGTTATTCCAAAAGAAATTGGAGAATCTTAGCCTCTTCTAAAGTTCAGCCTTTCAGGAAACATTTCCTATTTGTAGCCAGTGTCAACCTATTCTTCGATTGCCTGTTCTCCAAAGTGGGGGAAAAGACTTGAAACATGTTTGGTTTTCCATAAAGATGCTATTTTTTCACTCTGCTGTTTGAATAATTATTTCTGGTATATACTATGGTAATAAAAAGTGGTCCAAAATGACTTCTCTCACCCTCCCTTCCTTTCCTCCAGTTTTATGTACAGTAAAGGAATAACCGTATTTTCATTTCTGCCACCTGTTTATTAAATTTGCAAAATCAATATACGACATAACATTGGAGCGCTTCACTTTATTTTTCTTTGAAAACACCTCTACAAATTCTGTCTTCCGGCGCCTAAATGTTATAATAAGGGAAAATCAACAATTTCATTTCGGTGATCAGTGGCCACTTACTATCCGATTCAAAGCAAGATTTTGAAATGTGGCTGCTTAATATTTCAGACCTATTAATTGTATTTGTCCTCACACTAAATGTAATGATTTTCCTGTTGGAAATAGCAATCTTCTTCAAGCCTCCACTAATTTATTTGTATGTGATTATGTTTGCTTACTTTATTGTATATGCATGTTTTCATATGCAGCTTTCTCATTACCTTATGTTTCTTGAGATTGTAAGAGGGGCTGCAGATCACATGATCAGATCTGGGACTACTCAAAGCTCAGACTTCATTTTAGGACACACAGAGACTGAATAGACTTTGGGACTGTTCAGACCAACACTTGCCTGCTGTTAATTATAAGAAAGATGCCCAGTACCATATGCATACGGAAACTATCTCAAACATATCTGTAACTGGACTAATAAGTTTTGAACCTGTGTATGCTGAACACATGAAGTTGTGAGCAAACCAAATATGTTATTTTTACCAACGTCTACTTCATTTTGTCTCTTAGATGCATGATACAGAAATGGGTTGTCTTACGAGAGAGTAGATACATTTTTGGACACTGAAAACACTTCTGAAGCTCTGTTGTTTTTATGCGCTGGCAAATATCTGTTTTCCTAACAGATCAGAGACAATAGGTTCAGTTTAATAACTAAAGTCAATTGCCTTGCATATTACATCTGGTTGTACACCACTTGAGAAGATTCTACTCAAACAGGTTTTGGTTCTTCTCTGAAAGGTCATGCTTTTCCAAAATTGCCAACATTTTACCAGAATGCTCCTTCACAATTAGTAATTTACATTCCTCATATTATTAATTTTTTTTCAAATAAGGGATGGCTTTTTGATATGGGAAAGAGAATCTGTACTGATAGATTGTGTGAGTGTTTTTTTTTAGATTGATCTTCTTTATAAAGTCTTTAGATGTGGTTCATTCTTTCCTAAAGGTGCCTCAATTAAAGATCTGAAAGGATTCAGCATTTGTGATAAATCAAAACTAGAACTTGGTATCTAATGCAAGGGTCAGAAGATAAGAGGGAAGATATAAATACTTACTAATCAGACCACTTCCCTGAAGGCTTCTCCCTCTATTGTTACCACAACCAGCCACTTCAGTAAGCTGCAGCAGAAAGAAAAGGGGTGAAAAGAAGGGCCAAGCTCAGCTGAAAAGTTACTTGCTTTCCTCTCCACAATCCTTCCCGCATATTTGTTTTAGGACCTGCAGACAGGGACCATATTTTTTTGATTGCATGTAAAGAGCACTGGGAGTCTTTCTGGCCAAGGACTGGGATAAAAATGCTTTGAAGACATAAATAATTCATCCAGTCTTCAATCAGTGTTTAGGCTTTCAAGAAATATTTCCCATTTTCAGATGGCAGCAATCCACACTTTGACAAATATGACCCTCTTCACAACAACATTAAGCAACTCTAAATCTCACTGAATCCATAGTGATTCAAGCATGTAGTCAAGAACCTACAGCCATATTTTCCAGAATATTTATTGGGAAGAAATTCCATTTGAATATACAGACAACACCTTCAAACATCTTTTTTTCCCAATTTAAAAAATGTTTACAAATCTGTGCATCTAAGTTATTTGCATGCATAACAAGCATACACCATTCTCTCCAGGATTACATTAAATTAAATCAGGAATTTATTTACATTCAGTCCCTATTGACCAGCAGCTGCCATTTTTTTCTTATTCTTAGAATATTTTTTATGAAAATCTTAATCCTGATTTTAGGGGGGGGGGGGGGAGAAGGGTCAAACCCAATTATCACTAATTCATCTTCCTACTAAATGGAAATAATTTCCTACAGATCTTATCTGCTATCCACAAACTACTAGTTATCTGCCATTGAATCCTTTCAGTGTCATGTGATTTGCTGTATAGTACAAGAGAGAATTTGTCTTAAAGCTACCAATCAGCATGAATTACAAGAGGCAACTATGTAATCATGCTCAAATCCATCTTGCTTAAGGCCAAAACAAGAACTATACTTTCTTCTTTCTCTGCCTGAAAACACTAACTGTCACCAGTCTTCTTGTCCTCCTTAAGTCAAGCACAAGGAAAAAAGAAATAAAGTGAGGACTCTTCCACTCAGTCACATAACACAGAATATCAAGACAGAAAATCCCACAATATCTAATTTGAACTGAGTTATCTGAGTCCACACTGCCATATATACCAGTTCAAAACAGATTTTTTATCATGTCAGAAGCAACTTGAGAAACTACAACTCACTTCTGGTGTGAGAGAATTAGCCATCTGCAGAGACATTGCCCAGAGGACGCCCGGACATGTTACCATCCTGTGGGAGGCTTCTCTCATGTTCCTGCATGGGAAGCTGGGGCTGACAGATGGGAGCTCATCCCATCTCAGAGATCTCAACCACCAACCTTCAGGTCAGCAGTTCAACCAGCACCCATTGTGCCACTACGCCTCCTTTTTTCAAAACAAATAAAGTGGGATTTTATTCAGCTGTGTGGAAGGGGCCTGAGAGAAACAAGTGGGCTGAGCAGCTTAACTAAATACCCACATTTGCAGAGAAAGGCTGAGTCTACCCTTTTGCTGACACAGTATGTGTGCCTTTCCAAAGCACTGAACGTACAGATTACATATTAAAGAAATTTCCACTCTTAGCACTGTTAAAGCACATGGAAGCCCATGCACGTTTACTCAGTAAAAAGTAGCACTTTTTGTGGTCACTGTTATATAGTAGCACAGCCCAAGTATCTAAAGAGCCATGGTGAGGCACTAATTTCTATATATTTCTACAACCTCTACAATGACTTTTTTCCAGATTTTAAAAACCCAAGAGGGAAAGGTAGCGGTGCATTTCTTCAGTTAAACTGCAAGATCACATCAATTTCTTTTCTGATAACATCATCATGGAGAAGGCCTTCCACTGAGCTCTAATGTATGTCCAAGCCTATTGATCTGAACTCAGACTAATAACTTGGCTGCCAGTGAAATCAAAGAAACAAGTTGTAATATACTTTAATGTACTTTAATACTCAATTACTTTCAGAACTAAAGTTGCTGCACCAAAGCAGAGAAAGGTGGTAGTAACATCTTTCATTTCAGCAGTCTCAGTACTTGTGACAGTGGGGAACTGGATATGATTCAAAATTAGTTAATCAGTAGGGGGAAAGCCAGATCAGGAAGAGGTTAGAGGTGAAACCAATGTTCAACTAACTTAGGTACATCTACATTGTAGAATGAATAAAGTTTAATACCACTTCAACATTCATGGTTGAATGCTATGGAATCCTGAGCGTTATACTTGTACAAAATCTTTACCCTTCTCTATCAAAGAGTGCCGGTGCCTTGCCAAACCATGATGCCTCTGTACTGAGCCAAGATAGTTAAAGTAGAATCAAACTGCATTCATTCTACAATGTGAATGCACTCTAAATCTAACTCAATGGTTGAGATACTACACCACTAAGCATAGCATAAATGTTCCTCAAGCTGAGCTATGCCATGTCTCATCTTGCCATCACCCAACATTCAAATGTCCCTTCTCCTGATAGGAGAAGAGTAATATCATCCATAGGGGTCTTTATGAAGATCTGGTGAATGACATAACTTTTCTCCCCTGGCTATGGATCGAAAGCCAGACATGTCTCCAACATTCTCCCCATGAACCCCTGAATGGACATGGAGGAATGACTTTCAAGTGAGGAGTCGTGGGGGACTTTGGTCATTATGAAGGAAGAGAACCAACCATTGTAACAACCAAAAACTGTATGTTACTAACAGGATGCCATGCATTATTTTTACTTTGTAGTGGTGACTGCTCTGAGCTGTAGTTTTGCTAAAGAAATACAATTAGCAAAATGTTTTAACATAGATCATTCTGTAGTTTCGTAAGAGTTGGTTTACTGTATCATTCTTGTTTCAATAACTGGTTCAAATGTAAGTGAATATTTTGCTACAAAACAGCCAGTAAAATATATATGGTTAATATTTTTTTCATAAAACAAAAAAATGAATATTCAATTCATTTATAAAACCGAAAAGGTTTGCCATTCTATGCACCCCACCCAAACAGGAACTTCCAGCTTAAAATTAAACCACTGATGCTTCCTAATATGAGATGATTACAATAATGAATATTTAAATTACACTCCTGTAATCCTACTTTCCATGCATGCTCCGCCCTGCCAAGAAAACTAAAATTATTCTAATTAAGCTACTTGTGATACTTGTGCAAGAATTTGTTTCTGCAGTTACATTATTAATGCAGACTGTGCATTCCTTATCCAGAAAAAAATACTGGTTTATGGTCCATTAACAGGTTTGCAACAGAAATGAAATCAAGACACCTACTATTCTAATTTCTAAACTGCAAGCTACTCCTAAATATCTTGTTCTGCATATCTGTGAAAAAATGCAGATAACATGCTGCTCTCTGCTGCATCTTTGGTAGAAAAATAAAAATAAAGGTATAGAAAACAACTTAATAATTCAAAGACATAGCTATATTAGTCAGTAATATCAGTATACAGACGGATGTTGTAGCACCTTAGAGACTGAAAGAACAAAGTTGGTAGCACAAGCATTAGTAAAATAAGGGTGCATCGACACTGTAGAATGAATATGGGTTGATGTCACTTTAAGTGCCACTATTATTATTAAGTTTATTTAAACCCAGCTTTTTCTCGCCACAAAGCGACTCAATGCTATGGAATCATGGGAGTTGGAGTTTGGTGAAGCACCAACATCTCTTTGGCAGAAGAGGATAAAGATCTTGTAAAACCACAACTCCAATGATTCCATAGATTTGATGCTTTGCAGTTAAAGCTGTATTAATTCCACACCTTACGTCTATTTCCTCAGACGCATGCATTCTATACAGAAATCAAGTTTGGTGTATCATTCATCGGGAGGGGAGGTTTTTTTAATGCCTCTGACAGGTATTGTGCAGTATATTGGTGTAGGGTTCTGGAGACAGGAGTGATTGTTGTGTCATGGTTCTTGAAATATTCCTGGAGGTAGCAGCAGCAGACCTCTAGATCTGAGCTTCTTAAACTGTGGGTCCCAACCCCAAACTGGGTCCTGTCTGCCCAACGTTGGGATCCTGAAAAATTTGGCAACAGTACATAAAAGCTTTCTGAATACCATCCATTTACACACATCTATTAGCAACAATGTGCAGGGTTTACTGTGGACTCTGCAGAACATGCTTCAGTTGTAGCTCATAAGAAGGAAAATCAGCTTGTTTAGCAAGCCTTGTAAATGCTGATTAATTACCCATAAATTATTGCTTTTCATATATAATTTATATATTTATACCTGGGGTCATGTAAAAATTTCTCGGGTGGAAAGGGGTTGTGATTAGAAAACCTTAAAAAGCCCTGCTCTATCTCACTACAGCAATGCGCCTGGGTTTGGAGGGCAGAAGAATAAGCCCAGGATACAAGAGACTCGTCTGCTTGATTCTGGATGATAGATTTGCAATGAAAATGTTGTTGCCTTGGTTTTTGGTACTCTCCTGGTCATGGAGTCTCCCAGCAGTGAGAGTTTATTTTCCTTCTTTTTCATCACCAAAGAGAATGCATCCCATAGATGGGATTTCTCTGCTTTTTCAGAAATTATGTCCACTGATGACTCCTGCAGAGGGCTCGTTCTTTACTTGTGTTTCCAGAATGGAGATTTCTCTCTTGATTTTTTTCTTTTTTATCGTCCAGAATGTGATCAGATGTTTTAGTAGCACCCTGGAGAAAATATTAACTGTTTGGCACTGTTGTCTGAGAGGCATGTAGGTTCTTCACCCACAGGCTTCACACAAGTAGATTGAAGTCTATCATTTTTTCAGGGTGCAACTATGCCGTGGAATTAATTGCTGGCTGTCACCACTTTAACTGCCTTGACTCAGTGTCGTGGGATCTTTGGAGTGGTAGTCTTACAAGGCCCTCTCTGTCAAAGCATCCTGGTTCTTCACCAAACTACAACTCCCATGATTCCATAGTATTGAGCCATAGCAGTTAAAGTGGTGTCAAACCGCTTTAGTGTAGATGCATTCTTAATTGGTCTCCACCAAAGGCCTTTGCAATCTGTAAAATGAGTTGGGTTGCTCTGTGGTCATGTTCCACAAGCATTCTCTCCTGACGTTTCGCCCACATCTATGGCAGACATCCTCAGAGGTTGTGAGGTAAGTTGGAAACTAGGCAAGGGAGGTTTATATATCTGTGGAATGTCCAAGGTAGGAGTTCTGCACGTTCTGAATCTGCCAGAGAAGCGAACCACCAAGCAGCTGGACCCAGCACCCGCAAGCCCACTTACCTTACGCTGGGCACTCGTGTCGTATTTGTCATTTCGGAAGACCTGCGCGTTTTGGTGCCGCTGAGGCCGCGACCGAGACACATTCCCCCTTTGAGAGCTCATCCCTCACGCCTCTGCTTTCATCCGGAAATGAACCCTCTTTCCCTTCCGTCCCCCAGCAACCACGAATCCCAGAAATCCTATTGGGCCGGCGATAAATATGCGCTCTCCCATTGGTCTTCTCTTTCCACCAGGAAAGCTTGGATTGGTTCTGGCAGCGACGGTCCCGCCTCCCAGGCGAGAGCTTTTCATTGGCCAGGGCCGCCGGGCAGGGAGGCTTTGGCTCCGCCCCTTCGCCTCAGTCGGCAGCCTCCTCTAGAGGAGTTCTTCTGTCCTGCTTTCACCCAGGGAGCGAGCGGGCGGGCAAGGAGGAAGGTCGCTGCCTTTAGGCCGCATATCCGGGATCCGCTGAGGCATTCGGGCTTCCGTTTTCCACCGAAAGAAAAAAAAAGAAACAAAAAAAGACCGGCGCGAGCTCCAGCGGTTCGGGTCTTCGCCGGAGGAGCGCGAGCCCTCGGCGGTTCCTCGGCCTGAAGGAGCCCTTGAAGGAGAGGAATTGGTCGGAGCGCGCGCGCTTGTGTGTGTCTGTGTGTGTGTGCGCGCGCGCGCTGCCGCCGGCCAGCGAGGCAGTTGGACGCACGCGCACAGGCGCGCGCTCGTAGTTGGAGGTGAGAGAGAGCGAGAGAAGGAAGGAGGGGGAGGCGCGTGGCAAAAGTGGTCGCTGAGGGAGGGGGGAAGGAGGGAGAGGGAAAGAGAGAGAGAAAGAAGAAACAGAAGCCGGCAATGGCGGCGCCGGCTCTGACTCCCAATGGTCTCGGGCCTAATTGGTTGAGGCGGAACTGAAACAACTGGCGGTCTTGGTTGGCCTGTTGGGGGGAAAGAGGGGAGGCCTTCCTTCCCTTCTCGTTGAACCCCCCCCCCTTAATTCCTCCCCCCCCCTCGCCATTTTCCCCACATAAAGCTGGCCAGGTTCTAGCGGGGATGCGCGCGCAACCCCGGCAGAGACCACCGACTGGACGTGCTGCCGCAGCCCTTTTACGCCTCCCCCCCCCCCCCCCCCCATTCCCTTGATTTGGACTGGCCCGACCCCTGCGAAGTTGGGGGCGTAGACCCCTCCAAACCTCTCCTCGCAGGGGGAGGCGGCGGGCAGAGGACAGGGAGACGCTCCTCCAGAGTCCCTGAGAAGTAGGCTCCCACCCTCGCGTCTTGGGCTTGAGTATCGATAACGTTGCCTGCCTTTCTCCACATCCCGCGGATTGAAAGAACGGGGTACGTTCTCTACGCCCGGCGATTCCGAAGAAGAGGAGACCAAACCCTTGGTTGGGAATCAGCCAGCCTCATTTGTATGCGAGCCATCGCTTTGAGGAGGGGGATGTGTGCCTCACCAGCATAGCCAAACAGCACAGGCTTTATTTCTGAACAAAGCTTTTTTTTTCCCTTTCCTCCTTCTCCCTTTTCCGTTTTAGCAACCATTTCTAGCCCTTAATATCTAAATAGGAACCTGTTTTACATGATGGGAGGCTTGCTTGCTTCCCCCACCCTCTATTTTTTTTTAACTAGCCAGCTAAAACGATCCGGAAAACATGTTGGCAGCTGATGGTAGTTGAGGCTTCCTAAGCTTTCTGCCTTGTGATGGTGGAAAGAGGTACCAGTCTGGGAAAGTAAATTACACACAATGTGGGGTTTCAGTTGTTATGAATGGGGAGATTGTGTTTTGTTTTAATACAAAATGCTATACAGTGGTGCTAGGCTACATGTAAATATTAAATTCTTATTCAGTCATGCTTTAGTTTTGGTTAGTGACTTTCTTCATTCGCTTTTAAAAAAAACAATCCTGGTTGTTTGAAAGAAAACAGATGTTTTAGGGAGTAGCTGGTTGGTGATGGTGCTGCCAAGATCAATGTTTCTTACGGTTTAGCATTACTTTCTACATGTTAGTCCACAAGGTCTTCGTAAAACATACTCAGTTTTTGAAGAAAAATGAAAGCAAATCATTTCCTAGTATCCCTACCACTGGTTCAAAGATTAGGAGGGTGAATATAGTCATCCAGTGTAATCCTTGACTATAGAATCATAGAGTTGGAACAGACCTCGTGGGCCATCCAGTCCAACCCAAAAGAGCAGGAAAATCATATTCAAAGCATCTAGCCCAGTGGTTCTCAACCTGGGTCCCTAGATGTTTTTGGCCTACAACACCCAGAAATCCTAGCCAGTTTACTAGCTGTTAGGATTTCTGAGAGTTGGAGGCCAAAAACATCTGGGGACCCCAGGTTGAGAACCACTGATCTAGCCTCTTTAAAAGTCTCCAAAGATATATTATATTAGTCTAGTAGACAGAGTTCACATTATAACTATTTTTTTTGTTCATGGATATAGTTTATATCCTAGATATTCTTCATTATCTTTCATTTTAAGGTACCCAGTGATAAGCAATAAGTGCTATGGTTGTTTTCCATATTCTCTCTAAAATTACGCTTAATTTAAATAGGGACTTTGAATTATCTTTAGTCTCAAACACCTGTTGTTGGTACCCTTTAACTTCTGTCTTTGGCATTCCATGGTGATGACAGCTTCACTGGTAATTTACAGAATATATATATGTGTGTAAATAGTGCAGTGTACTTCATTAAACCATATAAATATTACTATTACAGATGCCTTAGGGGACTCCCAGTGTGGTCTGGTAGAATAATACAAACAATGCAATATTGCAAGACTAATTTGTATTCTACAAATGGAGCTGGCTAAGTTAAAATCTGACTTCATGAACTTTTGAAAATCAAGTAAGATACACATAGTGTGTCGAAACAGTGCATCAAAAATGGTTTGGTCACAAAAATGCTTTATTTACTTAATGTTGTTATCAATGAAGTGTCAAATTCACTCTTGATAGCTAATCCTATGCTTGTATCAGAAATAAATGGAAGAATATTCAGAAAAGAACACTTTTAAGCATTTTCCATCCATTGATTTTATCTGCTTAAGTGAAAAGCTATGCGGACTGTTTTCTATTATGCCAATTAGATCTAAAGGTTTTCTTTTGTCATTCCCCTTGCCATTCATCCACAGTTAGTTATCTTCAGGAAGCTGGCAGAATAAAATGAATCAAAGCATCAACACAGATTGAATGCTGCTTATATCCATGCAGGGCTCATCTTGCTGGGTTTGCATGGACTCTAGTGTAATAACAAGTGTCCTTCATCATAGCAACTATGAAAGTAACGAGGATGCTGCTGGAATGGATACAAAATGGAATTGGAATTTCTGTCTCCTGCATCTAAAATAGTTTCCGAAGGCACATCTTCATCTTTGAAAAAACATATGTTTGTGTGCTTTCAAGTTATTCTGATTTATGGTGAACCTAAAGTGAACCATGGGGCTTTGTTAGCAAGATTTGTTCAGAGGTGCTTTGCCTTGCTCTGAGGCTGAGAGTGACTTGCCTAAGGTCACCCATTGGGTTTCCATGACTGATCGGGAATTTGAACTCTGATCTCTAGAGTTATAATGGAGTGCTTGAATCACTGCACCATGCTAGCTATTCTCTTGGGCATAATTAATTTGTATTCTTGTGAATTCTTGAGTATAGATCACCTTGAATTTAGATATACTTTCTTTTGATTATACATGAAAGAAATGTATTATGCTGTAATGATGACCTGTAATATCTCAACTTGCTCTTACTTGAACTTTCAAAATATTTTAATTATTATTTTTGAAGGCCACCCTAATGATTAGTAGTTTGGTGTCTGTTCATAATTCAGTTGTTCAAAATTATGGAAATGTTTGTTTTTAACATAAAATTGATTCAGAGCATGGTTCTTCAGCAAACCTTGTTCTGGAGATGATGTAGGTGTCACTGAATTTTATACAAATGAACTTTCCTTAAACTAGTACCCTCCTGAAACTTGCCCTTCAGCTCCCATGCGCTCTACTGAGCATGACATTAGGAATTATGGGAATTGTAGGTCAAAGCACCAGACTGACATAAGCTTACTCTTGCATTCTTGACCCGTGAAGTAATTGCATGGTGGAAGCGGAATACAGGGAAGTAAATAATAGTTTCTTACCCCGTGTATGCTCCCACTAGAGCTACTTTTGATATCAACTAACTGGCCCAGAGTGCTGCTTTCTACTTTTGTGTTGCTCAAAACATTGCAATAGATAGAATTGTAGGAGACCACCACAGAATATATAAAGATGTGTAGTTCCATAGCTCAATCAGACAAAATTAAGGTTTGTATCTCAGTTACTATGGTTACCCTAGTATTTCTCAAGAAAAAGGAAACTTGTGATACAAAAGCTATGTTAATACTTTGCAGTGCTGCAAGTGGAGTGCTTTTTATCTTTCATAATGATTATAAAACTTTAAGCTGAAGATACCTGAAAAACCCACTGTCAGGTAGGTACTGGCACAAATTTTAGTAAAAACAACTTGCATTTTAAAAGTGTATGTTTTGTATATCTAGGTTGAGTGAGTTCTTAGAGTATGAAGTATAGGTAAAATCTCAGTTATCAGGAAATCCTAAATATTCCAAAAACTGGACGTTTTGGCTGCCGGCTGCCCACTTTTTGCTTTTAGGGAAAGGAGGCTAGTCACACATCCATGCTGAATTTTTCCTTAAGAAGACGTGAGAGGGGGAAGGGAGGTGATAATGCATGGCATTGAGGTAGGTTCCCTAGAAACAACCACAAGACCAAGTGTGGAGTGATTACATTCACTGCTACTTGTATCCAACCTAGAGAAAGAGAGAGAAAGGCTTGCAGGGGAATTTTCCTAGCTACTTTGCTAAAAGGGGAGAAAGTGTGCCCCCTTCCACCACACCCCCCCCCCCCCAACCTGGTCAGGGATCCTTGAAAAATTCTGCAGGCTCTGAACGCATGACTAGCCCTCTTTCCCCCATCCCTTATTAACTCAGTATATAAAAATAATAGTGTTCCAAACTCTGAAAAGATCCAAAGAATGTCTAGTCCCAAGCATTTTAGATAAGAGAGGCTCAACCTTTATACATGTATGACCATAATGAAACAATTACATAGAAGGATTTCCCCAAGTTATATGAAGCGTATGACACTGGCCATTTAGTGCTGTTGCTTTTCACCAGACAGGTTTTCTGGAAAGACTTCTGAGTAAGTGTATTAGTAAGTGTATTAGTGCATAGGTTTATTCATATATTGCCTTAAAATGGCTTCCTGCAACCTATTAACTAATTCCGTTTTAAGAGAGCATACCTTGAGAGATAGGCACAGTGGGTGTAGCCCAGGTTCCTGTTTCTCATGTGGTGGTCAGCAGTTTTCAGTTATAGCTATGAGATGTGGACATGATTCTTAGAGCAGTGAGAGTCATCACATGTGTTCTAGATAATTTCCTTTTGGTTTATTGAAACATCCCAATAAATGCTGTGTAAAGGGAATGATAAACTCCTCTTTACATCAAGACAGGGGTCCAGCCTGCTTGAAGGAAGCTTTTGTGAGATCTCTGTAAAAATGCTTATTCTAGATCCCTCTATGTTGGATAGCTATCAAATGGTTCCTGATATTCCATTAACAGCAAGGTTGGCATGGTTCAACCTCTCAGTTGCATGCATATCTGAAAGAGAGCTTCATAGCTGGTTAGATGACATCTTTGATCATCTTATTAGGTGACATTTACTGGGAACGGGTTTGTCAATGTGGGTTTTGCTGGATTCTCAGTGACTTTACGTGTACTCAACAATAGTATCCTTGTGGGCTGTCTTGCTGGTGAGAGACACTGTTCGTCTGGTTTTTTTTTCCCTAGAGGGTAGAACCCAGAGTGTGGTGTTCTAAAACTCTTGCTTGAGTCTGTGTCTCTTGACTTGTGGAGTCCCTCGGGGTTCTGCTTTGTCCCATGTTGCTTGACATTTAAATGAAACCAGTGAGCGAGGTTTTACAGAGTTTGAGGCTTAGATGTCAAGCTTTATTTCTCCTTTCCTCCTGTTTCTAAGGAACAGGATTCTATGTTGAGCCAGGATATGTCATCACTGATAGAATGAATAAAGGCAAACAAATTGAAGCTTTATCAAGGCAAGACTGAGCTGCTCCTGGTTATTAAAAAGGCAGATCTGGACATAGAGATTCAGATTGTGTTGGATGGGATTACACCTCCTGAAGATGCAGGTTTGCAGTTGAATATACTTCTGGGCTTATTGCTGAGTCTAGAGTTCTAGGTTTCACCAGTGACCAGGAGTATATTTGCACAGTTAAATCAAGTCTTATGAGCTGCGCCCATTCCTAGAAATGTCTGATCTGACAATGGTGACACTTTTTTTTTTGTTATGTCAGGAGCGACTTGAGAATCTGCAAGTCGCTTCTGGTGTGAGAAAATTGGCCGTCTGCAAGGACGTTGCCGAGGGGACGCCTGGATGATTTGATGTTTTTATCATCCTTGTGGGAGGCTTCTCTCATGTCCCCGCATGAGGAGCTGCCTGAGCTACATGCCATTTGGATTACTGTAACACATTTTGTGGGGGGTTGCCTTTGAAAAAATGCCTGCCTGATCTTTAATTTATAATCTGAATTTGTTTCCAAAGATTATACTGTGAAACTTCTTTACTTTAATTGTATAAAATAGATTCTGGGGCTCTGGCAGCGGCAGCCTCCGGCTCGGAAAAGCAAGGAAGGGTCCAACACTGCCATTCTTGCCCCCTTTCATTGTCCGACGTTAGATGCTTCCATCCTTGCGGGCCCAGGCAACAGGAGGGGATGGCTGGGTTGAAAGAGGAAGGCTTTGAATGGGGTTCTGGCAGCAGTAGCAGCAGCCTCCTCAAGAGTAAGGAAGGAAGGATTCAACATTGGGCAAAAAGAGAGGGGTTTCTTGAGAACCACCTGTGGTCCAAGGACAACTGGTTGGGAAACACTGCTCTAGAATAAAGGTAGATGTCTTCCTGAAGTTATAGATTGAGCACCTAATCTTTTAGTGGTCATACTTTGCCTTTACCGCAGTAGGGTGCAGACAGCTGCCTGCTAGGGATACCCTAGCTAGGCTTCCTGATTTGAGTGGGGTGGGGGATTGGCCTTGGCAGCCCCTTCCAGCTCCATGATTCAGTGAAAATTTGGTAGCACTATTAAGGGAACTTGAGAATATGAGTTCCATTCTAGACATATGTTGCCAGCCCTAGGTTTAGAGAGTGACATACTGGTTTGCCATCTCTTGATTCCATCTCAAATTGGCCTTTCAGGAAAGTTGACTGAAATTTTGAGACCATGATTTCAAATGGATGTTATTATGGGCAGCTAAACCAAGTCTTTTAACAAAAGATTTTGCAATACTCCTGTAGAAAATCACTTGTGAATGTAAAGACTTGAACAGTTTTTATTGCAAACATAATAGCTCTTTGGTTTTCTTAATACTCTTGATAAGATCACATGCACTCCTGAAGTAATAAATCATATGAGAACTAACAGTTGGTCCTCTATACCAGTGGTCACAGAAGTACGTGGATGATGTCTACAGTGAATTGAATTAGTTAAAAAGAGGAAAAGTTACTACTACACACACAAGTCAAGTTGCCTCAAACTTTTAAAGGGGATAATTGAAATATTGCCATGAATCAGTTCAGGGACTAACTGAACTATTGCTATGAGGCTCATATGCAGACTTTCAAAATGTTTCTTAGCTAATAGTTTGTTTTACAAATGCATACATGTTTGTTGGGAGCCTCTGGTGGCGCAGCAAGTTCACAACTGGACTTAATGTCAGGGGAAAACCTTTACCTTTTTACATGTTTATTAATGTGGTATACTGGGTTTATTACTGAGGTTTGTTAGTGATATTTTACTTTCAGAGTTGTTGACAGCGTTAGCCAAACTTAGTGAGCTTCAGCCCTCTTCTAAGATTATGTTACCTTCCATTTTTTCACTCTCTGCTTCCCTTGCCCCCAAATCTCTGTAGATAGTTCTAGTGATCTATAACCAGCAATGCAAGTATTTGTTTTTATTGTGTCATTTGGAAAACTCTTTGTGGATCAGGGAAGAAATACCTGATAAATAAAATATAGTGGAGCATCCCATTCAATAAATTCACATTAATTCATAACAGGTGCTCTTCTTGAGTTTTGCTTAATGCATATTGGTGTTAGAGAACATTCAATCCTCTCAAATCCATTGTGGATCAGTGACAATTTTCTCCTTAGTGGCATTAGACCTGCCCAGTTGGTTGATAGACTAAGCTGTCTTCTCTTCATCTGTGTAAAAATCAAACCTTTACTGATGCCAGATTTGCTTCACTTTTGAGAATAGTTTAGCAGGGTAATTATAATGTTTTGGTGAAAATGAAAAACAGTCATAGCATTGGAAGGAGTCTTATGGACCATTGTGCTCAGCCCCTGCTTCATGTAGAAGCATGAGGTAGAACATCCCCATCAGGCAGTTGTCAAACCTCTTTTTGTAGGCGTACAGAGAGAACTCCACCTCTCTAGGTAATTGCTGAACTGTTCTCAATGTATTTACATTTCACCTCTACACTAATGCGAATATATGCCATTAACTGTATATACAGTTAAAACATATTTGGAACTCTTCTCAGAAACATTGAAAAATTGATGTATGAAAAAAAGTCTCAAAGTTTAAGAAAGCTCATTAGAAGTTTAGAAATCTTGAATGACCAAATGTAAAATTCTGTTGGTGATGTATGTGCTGTTGTGCTTGATTTTCTCCTCTCAACATGTTAAAATTCCTTTTATATTAGCTTTTTGAAAACATGTTTGTTGTACAGGAATTCACATGAAAGATAATGCATTCTTTCCTCTTGTTTCAGATTGGAAGATGAATAATCTTTCTTTTAGTGAACTTTGCTGCCTATTCTGTTGTCCACCATGTCCAGGAAAAATAGCATCCAAGCTGGCATTTTTGCCCCCAGACCCTACTTATACTTTGATGTGCGATGAGAGTGGGAGTCGTTGGACTCTACATCTTTCCGAACGAGCAGACTGGCAATATTCTTCTAGAGAAAAAGATGCCATTGAATGTTTCATGACTCGAACCAGCAAAGGCAACAGGATTGCCTGTATGTTTGTGCGTTGTTCCCCGAATGCCAAGTATACCTTGCTGTTCTCACATGGGAATGCTGTTGACTTAGGCCAGATGAGCAGCTTTTACATAGGACTTGGTTCACGGATTAATTGCAACATATTTTCCTATGATTATTCTGGATATGGAGCAAGTTCAGGAAAACCAACAGAGAAGAATTTGTATGCTGACATCGATGCTGCTTGGGTAGCTCTTAGAACAAGGTAAATAGATATATTATTCTACTATGTGTAGGAGCTGTTTGTACGCGCATTTAGTAGTAAATTTAACTGTGAGAGTGTTCAGTGTATTTTCATGAAGAAAAAGGGCATTCTCGGTTGAGTGTTAGCAAACATTGTATGGCACCAGTAAATTCATGGGTTCATTCAATTAATACACCTCTGTTACCAAGGAGAACCAAGCTAGAGGCTTTCTTCTGAGAAATCTTACTTACTATTTTGTGTGTTCAGAAGATATGTTACTGCCTGTAACTGAAGACTTCACTATCAGGATTTAATGTCTGGATGTTTCCTTTAATTCAAAGAAGTGGCAGGCTGTAATCCAAATTCTAGATATATCTATCCATTTATAAGGTCTCTGAAAAAACAGGTTTACTAAATAAATGAGGTTGCTGTGAATTCTTGAAAAACAGCGGTTTACTTTATCCAACTTTAAGATAACTTTAGAAATACTGAAAATTTTTCATTATTCTTTTTTCAATTCTGTTAATTGATCTAACCCTGCTTCCTTTTTAAAAGTGGCAATGGTTATCTCTCCTCACTCCTTAAGGGCTGCAGAGACAAATTCCACCATCACCCATGGCTTGATGGTTCCTCTGACACTTAATTGTTAAACGTGATATGCAGATTAATCAGATGGAAGTCTTTTTTTACAGTTGGAAATAGTACTATAGTACTTTGAAAGAACCCTTACCCAAGTTGGCCCCTCATTGGGGCTCCAGTCATTCTCTTTGCCCTTTTACCTGGTGGTGGCTGCCTTTCTAGACAAGTGGCTGTGTTGGTGAGTGAGTTCACTGCAATAAAGTGAAAAGTTCTTGGTTTCAATTTTTAAATGGAAACCATCTGACACAGTTGTAGAAAATAAAACCAGTAAAGGTTTAGTATATAACAGTTAAATGAAACACAAACTCTCTGAACACTCTCCACATTCCTACCTCCCAAAACACCAATCAAATTTCACCAATTCATCACTTCCTAACTGGCCTTCCCTTTCTTTGACTCTCCTAACTTTTTTACAGACAGACTTCTAGATTATAGTCTCTCCTCAGACTCCTCTTTTGTGAGCTGTATTTGGCTGGTTTGCCGAAGTTCCCACTTGAGAAATACTCATTTGGGAAAGGGGTTAGTCAAAACTAACACAAGGTATTCACCTGCTTAGCTGATAGCAATTGTATTTTGGCCCCAGTGAATTGCTTGGTTGTTACTTATGAATTATGAAATCCAGATCTCTCAGAGATGAGCTAACGCTTGAGATTTTCTATTCAGATAGTCAGGAAAAAACCCTTTTCTATCTTGTTAACTTGTGTTTTGGTGATATATAAATGAGACTTGCACTGATGCTGGTTGATATTTCTGAGGCACCATGCAGGGATTATCTGGGTTAACCTGTGTTTTGGTGATATATAAATGAGACTTGCACTGAGGCTGGTTGATATTTCTGAGGCACCATGCAGGGATTAACTAATTTCTGCATTCATCATCCGCAGGTGAATTTTTAAGACCTTTCTGCTGCCAGGTATTTATCCTTTGCAGTGTTCTAACACATGTTGATTGCTTGAAAGTACATCTAAGGATAGAAGACAATTGTTACACTATTAACTTTTCCGTTTCCCCCCACCTAATGGAGGGTTTGCCTTTTAAACATTTGACAGATTTAGATTGAGTCAAACCGAATCATCATTTCTTACTGACTGTACTTAGGATTCTGCCTAATATGCAGAATTATATGAATTTGAAAAATTATGAGCTTTTGTTTTCTCACATATTATTGGAAACTGGGTACATGAAGATTGGAAAACACATCACTCTAGAAACAAGACAGGAATGCAGTGGACAAATGATCATTATGTGAAACACTTTCATGATTAAAAGAAAGCAAGTAGTGCTGTCACCAATGAATTTCTGGGTACCTTTTTATTCATAAGTGTAATTTCAGACTGCATGTGGGAGGCATTTCAGAAATTTCTGTTTCGGCAGTAGAAGTGAGTGTTTTAATAGTTGTAAACAGTGCATTCATGATAGGTAAGTGGTGATAATAGAAGAGTACCTTTGATAATGAGGCAAGTTTACATGTGGGAAAAGTTTTCTGTGGAATTAGTAAATAGAAGCATGGAAATGTAGAAGAAATATGAATAAAACTGTTATTTGTTTTCTTTTAATTGTGTGTTTTTAACCATTTGATTTTATTGATAATTTAATTATTAATTACATTTTAGCTTTCATGTGACATGTTTTGAGCTGCAACTGTTTTAACTTTTATGAATTGCTTTGTGTCCCTAATTGGGAAAAGGCAGGATATAAATGATGATAGGATTATTTTAAAAAAATCAGTTGTGTACATTCCCTAAATTATTTATTTAGTATAACTAAGGATAAGATTTATTAGAAAACTAGGATGCATCTGAGGAATTAAATTGAGGCAGCCAATGTCTCTAAGCTTACACTGCATGTCACTTGGCAATGTGGTCAGAAAGTGTCTTCTTTCATGCAGCCTCTTCTCCAAAAATGGAGGCCCTCCTAAAAATCTGAGGGCTGTGGGATGGAGAATGGGTTGGAAATTATTGAGGTTGGCATGGCTGGCTGATTGGAACAGGGAATATATAACATTTTCTTGCAGGTCCCAAATGTCTGCCTTTCTTAAAAAGTGTAATTTCAAATTAAATGCCATGTGTGTCCCAGGGTGCTTTGATCTACTGGGATTTCTCAGCATGCTCATTCATATAGGTAGTGGCTACTTTATTTTTCTGACATATGTCAAGTTTGAAATATCATCCTAATTGTTTTTTCAGGTACGGAATCCGCCCTGAAAATGTGATTATATATGGCCAAAGCATTGGAACAGTGCCATCTGTGGATCTTGCTGCTCGTTATGAAAGTGCTGCTGTAATTCTTCATTCTCCTCTGACTTCGGGAATGCGAGTAGCTTTTCCTGATACTAAGAAGACCTACTGCTTTGATGCATTCCCAAAGTAAGATGTAGTATTCTTAAAAGCTATTTGGCATGTTCTTCACATAAAAGCCAGACACTAAACAAGAAAATGAGAAGTTTCACCCACAGCCATTTGAATTTGGTTTTACAGTAAATATGTTCGTACAGTATATTAATTTAAGTATATTGGTTGCAGCTAACCCTATCTCTTTGAATGCAAGGATTATTTATGCTTGTGGAGGTCTCAGGGGGACACTTTCTCTAGTTTCCCCTATAGCACTTCTCACTATGTTCCTTTAAGTCTACCTGTTTCCTGAAACCGTATGGGAAGTGGAAGAGGGGATTGCAAAATGCATTGAGCTGCATTGCCTCCTTCCTGGAGCACCAGCAGAATGCTGCTGAGGACAACTCTATCCAATCTAGATCTTTGAAATAATCTCTCTATTTCTATTATGAAATGTAATATACCACCTGAAAAATATTAGTTATTGGGTGATTTAAAAATAACATTTTAAACAAATTGTGTGACAGCTGTTTGTAACATTGTGTATTCTTGCATACTAATTCTTTTTCTATGTTCTTGTAGCATTGACAAGATTTCTAAAATAACATCTCCAGTGTTAATAATCCATGGGACTGAAGATGAAGTGATTGACTTTTCACATGGCTTAGCTTTATTTGAACGCTGCCAAAGGCCTGTAGAACCACTGTGGGTAGAAGGAGCAGGACACAATGATGTTGAGCTTTACGGACAATATCTTGAAAGATTGAAACAGTTTGTGTCACAGGAACTTGTGAATTTGTAAACTGCTTTGTATAGTTACATGCTGGTGAATTTCTTTGCAGAACTGCAGATCTTGATAACCACAGCATGAAACCTGATGGTTTTGTTTTCAAATCAGGTCAGTTGCCTTCATATGTGTACAGGTAATGATTTGTAAACATAAATTAATGAAGGTTTTGATACCAGTATTAACTGGAAAAACAGATAAGGAGGGCAAGCTTGTGTAGTTCTCATATTTTGCGCAAGTTTTCTTAAGCTATACATAAGTCAATTTGCAAGTTTTTCTTAAGATGTACAAAAATAAAGTGAAATTTTATGTAAAATCAGATGCTGTAAAAGTGTTGCCAAATGCTTTAGCATATCAGAAAGAAGGTTGTATACAATATTTTTAAAACATCTCAGATTTTACTGTGACCTATTCTGTTGCACAAGTGTAATTGAATCAGTTGTAAAGCAAAAAATAGCCATTACATTTGAAGGAATATGAAAGAAGAATGAAAATAACCACTGGAACTTGCAGTCCCTGTTATAGCAGAGCAAGTCAAAATAAGGGTTTTATAATCTTTCATGTCTTATTCTTAATGTTTCTCTTTTCCCGAACCATTACTGGCTGAAAAAACTATTTGACCATTGTTGCTTTACAAAACAAAGACCCAAAATCTTGATTCTCTATTAACATTGTCCATATTAAAATAACAAAATACCAACTTCAATGGATCATTGGGAATCAATAAGAAATTTAAAAATCTTTTTATGTGGCTACTTGGCCATTTTGAAATTATGTAAAGAAGGATAAAAATAAAAACTAATATTTGTCTGACTTTTTTTACTGGCAAATGTGCAAAGTTGCAATTTGTCATTTTTGATTTAAATGTTTGTAAATGTAAAACTAATTGTTTCAATTATTCTGAGATCTCAACTAATGTACTCCTCTATAGTGAAAACGAATGTCGACAACTCTAGTAAAATAAGTTGCCTTTCCCTTGAATACATCTTGCTTGAATAAAATATAAACTAGACCTAAAATGTAGCCTAATTTGTTAACAAACTAATACTCAAGTACACACTGTGCTTCTAATTTTAAAGCCTTACATAGTTTACTCATTCTGCTCATTTTTGTGATTGTCCAGGAATATTGTATAATGTATGTATTGTGAATGCTTAGATTTGAATGTGTTCAGCCTGAATAAGAGAAATTCCATACAGTTGATGCTCAGCTTTTCCTGCAAACCTTAACTGTAGGCTCTTGGTCAGCTTATTCTCTGTGACACCAAAGAGCCAGAACGATTCCTAATGTGACTAAAACATCTTGCCAAAATCTGCTGGTTCTACTCATATGGACATGTGCTTCCCTTTTCCAGGTGTCTATCCTATGTTCGTCATCCACATTTACGTAACAGTTGGCTTGTTTCAAGGCATTATGTTAGTGTATAGTTTGATTTTTATGCAAACTCAATCTAACTTATTAAACTATTGAGTAACTATGTTTTCTGAATGAAGGACCGAACATGAGTAAAGTGTTTTAAGCCTTGTCATAGTGGATGGCAAATGTTTTCATAGTTACTGGATTGCAGTGTATCCTCTGCATAGAGTTCACTGTAATGAAATGAAATACCAAGTATGATGTAATACATTTCATACTCTTCTCTATATCCTGCAGACCCCATGTGGAGAGAGGAGGGAAATCCTACCATTTTCACAATAGCTTTTTTGTACTCTGAAACATATGAAGATTTGTTCACATAGTTCCCAGTGTGGGAGGCAATGTGTTGGCAGGGGAGAAGTAAAGAAAGAAATAGCATCTAATAAAAAATCTAGCTTGTTAAATACATTGGTGTGGCTCCACATCTAGTCATAACTAAAGTAGAATCAGTGTTACTATTCTAAATATATAAGACTTATTCCTATTCATTAATACTGTAAACTAAATCTGCACTGATTTTGCTTTACACTCAGTGAGATATTTTGATTTGGCTAACTATCAGTTTGATAGGTTTTTTAAAATGACAGTATAGAGAGAAATCATATCTAGTAGTTTGCACATTGGATTGAGCCTCAAGAACAAGGTTCAGATCTCTGCTCTGCTATGGAAACCCCCACTGATCTCAGGAAGACAAAGGCAAACCCCCTGTGAACAAACCTTGCCAGGAAACCCCTATGATAATGTTGCCTTAGGGTCTCCAAAGGTTGGGAACAACTTAAAGGTACACAACAACAGTATAATAGGATAAGCATAGATCCATAACTATGTGTCCATAGAAAGCATCACAGAATTTGATGGAGTGCAAGTAGCATTTTTATAAACTTGATCTATAAAACTTAAATATTATTTTGTTCTATTAAAGTAAAGTGAGCTGTCCTTTAAGAAAAGACAAAATCTTAAAAATATCTTGCTTCAATTCAGTGTATTTAATTATTCAGTCCTTCCAAAAAGACTGCTAAATTTTCAAAGATCTCTAAGTTGCATCCCTGACACATTGTTTCCAAATCTTTTCGTTACCAAATGACCATAATAAAGGGAACTCAGTTAATACTATTTTTCCAAATAAAAAGCTACTATAGCAAAGGTCAACTCAATTATGTCAGTACACATACACTTACATTCCCTCAATGCACTGTTGAACTGCAATTCTCATCATTCAACCATTTATTAGGCTGGTTAGAGTTTCTTGGATTTGCAGTTCAACAGCAACTGTTGGTCCAGATTTTAGGGGAAGGAAGGATATCAGGCATGAAAGCAAAACATGTTGTTAGGCAAAGTACTACCTCAGACCAGTCTTGTTACTTTTAGGAAATATCAGACTCCATATTTGGAAGTGAGCTTCAGAGATTATTATGGATGTGTTGCATTATAACAGCCTAAACCTAAACCAGCCAAGAATACTATAAACAAAACAGTGATGTGAGTAGCAACATATCTGCTATTGGAGATTGCTTACTGTTATTATCTTGATCTCTGTAGGTCAAATGTTTGTAGGCTTTACCTTTATACTACATGCATTTCCAATTTCTTTTGACTTAAAATTTCCATTGGCACCATACTGCATGTTCAGTGGCTGGAGTGATGGAAGTTGTAATCTTCATCTAGAAGCTTCAGGTTGAGGAATATTGCTCTGTTTTGGTTTTAGACACAAATACAATTAGGCAAATTGAAAGATTCCTGTAGGATGGGTCTAGCTGTATCAACACAAGTTAGATGTGATTATGACCATGTTGCAGAATATGAATTTGCCTTGCAGCATTGTTTGAAGTTAGAGGCAAGAGGTCCCCTGATTCTGTCTCACAGATTTTTATCAGCAAGAAAGAGGCAGGCTACAGTTCCTGAACATGGCAGTAATAGTGTCAAAGGGTTTTGTAGTACACATTTTCCCCATTTATATCAGGAGAAACATACCAGGGCTAATTTCCAGTAACAGGACCTACTGGCCATCTGTGAGAATTAAATGATGCTTTCTGGTAATTAAGGTACAAATTTTGAAAACAAATTGGCTTACAACCAGAGAACCATTTTTAATTTTTGCACAATGCTTTTGGAAGGGTAATATCGAACTTCATGTGGCCTTTTTGTCAAGACCTAAGTATAGTTTTTAATATTTTACTTCCAATGGAGCTTTGCACTGATATTAAAGTTGAGCCCTGTTAACATCGCAAGATATATAGTTTTATGTATGACCAGATTCTGATTCCCTGGAACACTTTGTAGGGCTGCTAGTGGCAACCAAAATAACTTAGAATACTAATCAAGAAGCCACTGACCAGAAAAGTTGTCATCCTTTGTTTGGGTTTAAGTCTAAAAGGCATGGGGAGGAGGGAAACATCAAGGCTGTCAGGCTTGAGAGCAAAAAGGGCACAGACTGTCAGGCAGTACTACCTCAGACCAGTCTTGTCACCTTTAGGATATTTTGAACTCTGTATGTGGAAGTGTGCTTCAGAGATTATTATGGATGTCTTGCATTATTACAAAGCCTAAGCCAGCCAATGTGAGATCTAGAATATTTACATTATTTCCAACCTTTTAAAATAAAAATATAACACAGTATTGACTAACTTCTTTGCTTCTGTTCCTTCCCTTTTGTTAAGATCGGGTTACTCCAAAATCAGGTCTAAGCATTAGCCGCTGTTAACTCTGTTTAAACATTCTGCTAATCATTGTTCTTTAAGATGATTCAAATAAAGGCTAGCTTTTGACTATACTGTTCCAGCCGTGTTGATGTGACTCAGCTTTGTAGCACTCACTTCTGTATGCCAGGGACAGAGGGCAAAAAGATGATTTTATACTGATCTGCAGAAGTGCATTTTACAATATAGAAACACTGCTTTCAGTAACAATTACTCCTTTGGGTTTTCTCTTCAGATAATTTGTAGCATGTGAAGTTGAATTGGTGGCTTATTTTTTTGCCAACAGCATGTGATGTTTATTAATTTGGTTCAGCATTAATTTAGGGGAAAAAACAGAGTATGAACTCTGAAAATGGGGTGGAGATACAATATTTGATCTCTTTTGTGTGCCCTGTTGGAATCAGGATTTGTGTCTGCTATTTGCAGTTGGAAGAAGGCTCACACTGATGTCACAGGGATCTTCCCTCTCATTGCAAATGGGAGAAATAATTGGGACTGTGACAGAAAAAGGATTAAAGCTACTACTACAAAAGGATTAAAGCTTTCCACTCCAGCAACTTAAGTTTAGAAAATCTATGCCAGATCGGATTCATTACATAATATCATATGCAGTTGGCCAAAAACGTCCACATTAACTCTGAACAATATTTTCGATTTCATGAGATCACAATTTTCAGTCTCATGACCTGCATATAAAAGATGTTTTTGTTCAAAAACACATTTCCTATTTAAAAGTATGAATATGGCATTGAAATATCTGAAACTATCAAATCTGAAGACTATAACAGTATGTTAGATAGGAACAAAACTGAATTATGCGTAAAAGTATATCCTTTGAAATTGGTGGGACATGGCAGTAACAAAATTAATATTTACATGATCTAGAAAACATGCTAAGAAACTCAAATATTTAGAAATTCCAATTCTAAATCTAATTATTTGCTAACAAGACAGTAACAGTAAAGGTTTTCCCTTGACGTTACTTCTAGTCATGTCTGACTCTGGGGGGTGGTGCTCATCTCCATTCCTAAGCTGAAGAACCAGCATTGTCTGTAGACGCCTCCAAGGTCATGTGGCCGGCATGACTGCGTGGAACACCGTTACCTTGCCGCCGAAGCGGTACCTATTGATCTCACATTTGCATCTTTTTGAACTGCTAGATTGGCAGAAGCTGGGGCTAACAGCGGGAGCTCACCCCGCTCCCTGGATTTGAACCGCTGGCTTTTTGGTCAGCAAAATGGCTTAATCTGCTGCAGCACCGGGTGCTCCTAACAAGTCAGACAGCTAACATATTACAGTTATTATTCATGAAGGGTGTCATAAATATGGGCCAATCAAGTTCTGTGCAAATATGTGAAACAGGCCTCATGACTAAATAAATGTGTAGGAGTGCAGCAGGCTTCTATGCTGATCCTAGGAAACAGCACTATGGTAATTTGCAGGATGATACTAAGATTTATAGGATGTATTGGTTAGCTTCAACTCCTTCCTCCTATATTTTGTATCCTAAGAATGCCTACCTTGGTCAGATAATGCCTTTGGGCTGCTGTCTCAGAAAATGGGAAGCAAGTGGATTATGCTGGCTATTGTAAGACGTTCTCTATAAAAAGTTAGAACAATGAACTTTTTTTACCCTATTTGAATGTATGGAATGCTACATTCCTCTAATAGTGGCATGCATCTTCTGTTTGTGACCTTTTGTATGCATTTTCTGAGCAGGCTGAATGGTAGAGTATTAGATTAGCAAGCACAACAGGTTTTTTTACTGCTAAAACCAGGCATGCCAAACACATTTTTGGAGCGTATACATTTCTGAAGGAAAACACAATGGCTTAACTTCCCCTCCTAATCACATAGTTACAGTTCTGAGCATCATTCTCAGGTGCAAAAATCTCAGACAACATTTTCAAACCAAACTCTTCTGCCAAGTAGGATATGTGACCAGCCTATCTAAAACCCTTGCCTGGCCAGAATAGCCCAAACGGGTGCAGCTACACTGGAATTAACACAATGTTTACACTACTTTAACTGCCATATCTCAATGCTATGAAATCTGAGAGTTATAATTTTTACCGTAATCTTTACCTTTGCTTGCCAAAGAGTGCTGGTGACCCACCAAAAAACAAATCCCAGGAGTCCATAGTACTGAGCCATGGCAATTAAAGTGGTGTCAAACTGCATTACCTCTACAGTGTGGAGGCACATTTTGTTGTCCTTGAGAAAATATACCTTTCCTGATCAGCAGCCAAAAACACAGCTCTATGAATAAAAAATCGGGTGACCACCAGCCTCCTTCCAAATTATCTGTATGACGGTTTATATATTCAGTTAGACAATCACAAAAATCTTCTCCAAATGTAATGAAAATCTGTCCAGATATATACATGAGTGTGCAGTAACAAGCAGGCAGAAACTTGATTTTTATTTTAATCCAGGGTGTCTCAAAAGTCGCCATACATAGGAAAAAATTGGAAAATTCAGCCAAATATACCTTTATTAACTAAATATTTTAAACAAAATTTTACAAAATATTGTCCTATGTATGGAGGCTTTTAGGACACCCCGTACTTACGGCAACACATCAAAAGTATAATTGCTAAAATTTAACTCAAATTCTTTTCCATACCTTTGTATAAATAAAAATAAACAGAATCACTAATCCAGGCATGGGCAAACTTTCTAACTTGGAAGCCATATGGTGGGATGGAGCAGGCTGGGAGGGAGGGGGCTCTCCCCAAGTCCCCTCCTTCCCCTTTCCTCCACTATCTCTTCACTTTTGGAGGCAGAAAGTGAAGATGGGAAATGTTTGGATCCCAAAAGGTTTAGCCTTAGGATGAGATGGTGGACAGGAAAGAAAAAAGTGCCTCCATTAGACTTCCGTAACTCCTGATATAGAATCCTAGAGCTGGAGGAGACCCCCAAGGACCATCCAGTCCAACTCCTGCCATGCAAGAAGGCACTATCAAAGCACTCCCAATAGAGAAAGAAGGTGGAGGAGACTCCACCACACTCCGAGGCAGCCTACACTACTCTCCAACTGCTCTTATTCTCAGGAAGTGCTTCATCTTTTCAGTCGAATCTCTTTCCCTGCCATTCGAAACCACTGCTTCATTGTGCCCTGGTCTCTAGAGCAGCAGAAAGTCAGTTTTTTCCCTCCTCCTTAATAGGACACCCTTTAAAATCTTGAAACATGGCTCTCATGTTCCCTCTCTGCCTTCTCTTCTCCCAGCTAAACATCCCCCAGGAGCAAAAAGAGGAAGGAAAAAGAGAAGGAAGAAAGGGAGGAAGAGAAGAATGAAGGGTGGAAGGGGGGGGGGGAGGGAGGAAAGGGAGAAGAAGGAAGGGAAAGAAAGAAAGAGGAGAAAAGAGAAGGGAAAGGAAGAAAGGAAGGAGAAGGTAAGGAAGGAAGGAGGGAGGAGGGAGAAAGGGGAGGGAGGGAGGAAGGAAAGAGAAGGAAATGATAGGATGGTAAGAGAGAGGAGCCCCCCCCCCAACCAGTCTGCGTTTGCCCATCCCTGCGCTAATCCCTCCATCCACAGTGAATTTCATGTACATAAAATATTGTCAGTTTTATCTTAAACTGGATTTGGTGAATACCCAGTCCACAGTTTTGAATGATGTAGTCAGAAAGACTAACGGACAAAAATATAACTTTTATTTATAGAACTCTGGTGCATCACACCTTAGCATTAAGTGGCACACTTTTATCATCCATAGAAAATAGGTCTTCATAACCAGCTTTTTCATGTGCATTTTAAATCAAATGAACTCATGCCCTCTGCTGACACATACCTGTATTGCCAAGATGACTCATGATGGTTAACTATTCCAGAAACCTGATATTGGTTACTATATAGGCTTTAGATTTAATGCAAAATAGCTACCCCAAACCAGCTCAAAGCTTCATACTGGTACATAAAAACCTGAAGGAAGGAGGGAATGCCTCTGTTTAAATCTCAAACAACAAAATACATCAGGTTTATATGTTCTTTAAAATGACCCCATATTCTGTGATACACTAAGGTAAGCTACAGTAGCCATGGATTTGGCAGTGGTAAGCATATGTTCAAATGTATTAACTAAGTATAATATCTAATAACAGCCAATGATTATCCAGTTGGTCCTTTGTTTCCACGGATTCTTGATTTTGCCATTTTATATATGCCACTGTATATAATGGGACCTGTGCTTCAATGGATTTTGGAATCCACAAAGGGGATACCAAACCCTAGTAGATACCAAGGCACCACTGTACAATACATTCTGTTGGGCTGCAGAGAAAACTCAATGTTCAGACTACACAGAGAAGCCACTGAAATCCACAAGCATGTGGACAATTTCAACAGAAAGGAGAAAACCATGAAAATGAACAAAATAAAAGATTGCCCCAGGCACTGCCAGGCCATCAAATGCTAATCAAGGTGGTCAGTTGAAATATTCACACCTAGCTCCAACAGACAAGAGTTCTTTGCTCCACCTTGGTCATTCCACAGATATATAAACCCATTTTCCTAGTTCCAGTAGACCTCACTATCTCTGAGGATGCTTGCTATAGATGCAGGCGAAACATCAGGAGAAAATGCCTCTAGAACATGGCCATATAGCCCAAAAAAACCTACAACAACCCAAGGTTCTTTATCTTTCACATGCTTTTCTGGGTGGTTGTTGAAACTTTATACTGATTAAATACTGAAGCGTGTGTCACAAAATATCTTACAGTGTTTTATGAGTCATGGAATGTGTAATCCATATGTTGACATGAAATATACAAATTCTAGGAATCTATTTTGGTAGTTGCCTGGACAACAGCAATAGTTCTAAACCATTCTATCAAAAGTATAGTGGACCCTTGGAGTTTGGTTTCACCCCCCCCCCCTTTCCCCAGGTACCATTATTTATGGATGCTCAAATTCCATTTTATACAATGGCATAGAAAGTGGTACCCCTTATATAAAATGGCAACAACCAAGGTTTTATAAAAAACATTTTCAAGCTTTAGATCAGTGGTTCTCACCAAGTGTTTTGACCTACAACTCCCAGAAATCCCAGCCAGTTTACCAGCTGTTAGGATTTC